AAAAACGACAGTGTTACCCCTTTCGTTTTTTTTCATTTTTGGGCGAAAAATTAAGTTTCTCCAATCTTCTCAAAACTCTGGATTATGATAGAGGGCTGTGAGACTTTGACCTGAGTGCAAAAATGGAGGCTCTAGACCCTTCCAGAGCTGAGATATCGAAATTCAAAATTTCGACCCGAAAAAAAAACGACAGTGTTACCCCTTTCGTTTTTTTTCATTTTTGGGCGAAAAATTAAGTTTCTCCAATCTTCTCAAAACTCTGGATTATGATAGAGGGCTGTGAGACTTTGACCTGAGTGCAAAAATGGAGGCTCTAGACCCTTCCAGAGCTGAGATATCGAAATTCAAAATTTCGACCCGAAAAAAAAACGACAGTGTTACCCCTTTCGTTTTTTTTTTTTTTTGGGCGAAAAATTAAGTTTCTCCAATCTTCTCAAAACTCTGGATTATGATAGAGGGCTGTGAGACTTTGACCTGAGTGCAAAAATGGAGGCTCTAGACCCTTCCAGAGCTGAGATATCGAAATTCAAAATTTCGACCCGAAAAAAAAAACGACAGTGTTACCCCTTTCGTTTTTTTTCATTTTTGGGCGAAAAATTAAGTTTCTCCAATCTTCTCAAAACTCTGGATTATGATAGAGGGCTGTGAGACTTTGACCTGAGTGCAAAAATGGAGGCTCTAGACCCTTCCAGAGCTGAGATATCGAAATTCAAAATTTCGACCCGAAAAAAAAAACGACAGTGTTACCCCTTTCGTTTTTTTTCATTTTTGGGCGAAAAATTAAGTTTCTCCAATCTTCTCAAAACTCTGGATTATGATAGAGGGCTGTGAGACTTTGACCTGAGTGCAAAAATGGAGGCTCTAGACCCTTCCAGAGCTGAGATATCGAAATTCAAAATTTCGACCCGAAAAAAAAACGACAGTGTTACCCCTTTCGTTTTTTTTTTTTTTGGGCGAAAAATTAAGTTTCTCCAATCTTCTCAAAACTCTGGATTATGATAGAGGGCTGTGAGACTTTGACCTGAGTGCAAAAATGGAGGCTCTAGACCCTTCCAGAGCTGAGATATCGAAATTCAAAATTTCGACCCGAAAAAAAAAACGACAGTGTTACCCCTTTCGTTTTTTTTCATTTTTGGGCGAAAAATTAAGTTTCTCCAATCTTCTCAAAACTCTGGATTATGATAGAGGGCTGTGAGACTTTGACCTGAGTGCAAAAATGGAGGCTCTAGACCCTTCCAGAGCTGAGATATCGAAATTCAAAATTTCGACCCGAAAAAAAAACGACAGTGTTACCCCTTTCGTTTTTTTTCATTTTTGGGCGAAAAATTAAGTTTCTCCAATCTTCTCAAAACTCTGGATTATGATAGAGGGCTGTGAGACTTTGACCTGAGTGCAAAAATGGAGGCTCTAGACCCTTCCAGAGCTGAGATATCGAAATTCAAAATTTCGACCCGAAAAAAAAAACGACAGTGTTACCCCTTTCGTTTTTTTTTTCATTTTTGGGCGAAAAATTAAGTTTCTCCAATCTTCTCAAAACTCTGGATTATGATAGAGGGCTGTGAGACTTTGACCTGAGTGCAAAAATGGAGGCTCTAGACCCTTCCAGAGCTGAGATATCGAAATTCAAAATTTCGACCCGAAAAAAAAACGACAGTGTTACCCCTTTCGTTTTTTTTTCATTTTTGGGCGAAAAATTAAGTTTCTCCAATCTTCTCAAAACTCTGGATTATGATAGAGGGCTGTGAGACTTTGACCTGAGTGCAAAAATGGAGGCTCTAGACCCTTCCAGAGCTGAGATATCGAAATTCAAAATTTCGACCCGAAAAAAAAACGACAGTGTTACCCCTTTCGTTTTTTTTCATTTTTGGGCGAAAAATTAAGTTTCTCCAATCTTCTCAAAACTCTGGATTATGATAGAGGGCTGTGAGACTTTGACCTGAGTGCAAAAATGGAGGCTCTAGACCCTTCCAGAGCTGAGATATCGAAATTCAAAATTTCGACCCGAAAAAAAAACGACAGTGTTACCCCTTTCGTTTTTTTTCATTTTTGGGCGAAAAATTAAGTTTCTCCAATCTTCTCAAAACTCTGGATTATGATAGAGGGCTGTGAGACTTTGACCTGAGTGCAAAAATGGAGGCTCTAGACCCTTCCAGAGCTGAGATATCGAAATTCAAAATTTCGACCCGAAAAAAAAAACGACAGTGTTACCCCTTTCGTTTTTTTTCATTTTTGGGCGAAAAATTAAGTTTCTCCAATCTTCTCAAAACTCTGGATTATGATAGAGGGCTGTGAGACTTTGACCTGAGTGCAAAAATGGAGGCTCTAGACCCTTCCAGAGCTGAGATATCGAAATTCAAAATTTCGACCCGAAAAAAAAACGACAGTGTTACCCCTTTCGTTTTTTTTCATTTTTGGGCGAAAAATTAAGTTTCTCCAATCTTCTCAAAACTCTGGATTATGATAGAGGGCTGTGAGACTTTGACCTGAGTGCAAAAATGGAGGCTCTAGACCCTTCCAGAGCTGAGATATCGAAATTCAAAATTTCGACCCGAAAAAAAAACGACAGTGTTACCCCTTTCGTTTTTTTTTCATTTTCGGGCGAAAAATTAAGTTTCTCCAATCTTCTCAAAACTCTGGATTATGATAGAGGGCTGTGAGACTTTGACCTGAGTGCAAAAATGGAGGCTCTAGACCCTTCCAGAGCTGAGATATCGAAACTTCAAAATTTCGACCCGAAAAAAAAACGACAGTGTTACCCCTTACGTTTTTTTTTCATTTTCGGGGCGAAAAATTAAGTTTCTCCAATCTTCTCAAAACTCTGGATTATGATAGAGGGCTGTGAGACTTTGACCTGAGTGCAAAAATGGAGGCTCTAGACCCTTCCAGAGCTGAGATATCAAAATTCAAAATTTCGACCGAAAAAAAAAAACGACAGTGTTACCCCTTACGTTTTTTTCATTTTCGGGCGAAAAAATTAAGTTTCTCCAATCTTCTCAAAACTCTGGATTATGATAGAGGGCTGTGAGACTTTGACCTGAGTGCAAAATGGAGGCTCTAGACCCTTCCAGAGCTGAGATATCAAAATTCTAAATTTCGACCCGAAAAAAAAAACGACAGTGTTACCCTTTACGTTTTTTTTTCATTTTCGGGCGAAAAAATTAAGTTTCTCCAATCTTCTTAAAACTCTGGATTATGATAGAGGGCTGTGAGACTTTGACCTGAGTGCAAAAATGGAGGCTCTAGACCCTTCCAGAGCTGAGATATCAAATTCTAAATTTCGACCCGAAAAAAAAACGACAGTGTTACCCCTTACGTTTTTTTTCATTTTCGGCGAAAAATTAAGTTTCTCCAATCTTCTCAAAACTCTGGATTATGATAGAGGGCTGTGAGACTTTGACCTGAGTGCAAAAATGGAGGCTCTAGACCCTTCCAGAGCTGAGATATCAAAATTCTAAATTTCGACCCGAAAAAAAAAACGACAGTGTTACCCCTTTCGGTTTTTTTCATTTTCGGGCAAAAAATTAAGTTTCTCCAATCTTCTCAAAACTCTGGATTATGATAGAGGGCTGTGAGACTTTGACCTGAGTGCAAAAATGGAGGCTCTAGACCCTTCCAGAGCTGAGATATCAAAATTCTAAATTTCGACCCGAAAAAAAAAAAACGACAGTGTTACCCCTTTCGTTTTTTTTCATTTTCGGGCAAAAAATTAAGTTTCTCCAATCTTCTCAAAACTCTGGATTATGATAGAGGGCTGTGAGACTTTGACCTGAGTGCAAAAATGGAGGCTCTAGACCCTTCCAGAGCTGAGATATCAAAATTCAAAATTTCGACCCGAAAAAAAAAACGACAGTGTTACCCCTTTCGTTTTTTTTTTCATTTTGGGCGAAAAATTAAGTTTCTCCAATCTTCTCAAAAACTCTGGATTATGATAGAGGGCTGTGAGACTTTGACCTGAGTGCAAAAATGGAGGCTCTAGACCCTTCCAGAGCTGAGATATAGAAACTCAAAATTTCGACGCGAAAAAAAAACGACAGTGTTACCCCTTTACGTTTTTTTTCATTTTCGGGCGAAAAATTAAGTTTCTCCAATCTTCTCAAAACTCTGGATTATGATAGAGGGCTGTGAGACTTAGACCTGAGTGCAAAAATTGAGGCCTAGACCCTTCCAGAGCTGAGATATTGAGATACCACGTAGCATTTATGCCATTATAAATATCTCAATATCTCAGCTCTGGAAGGGTCTGGGTGCGAAAAAATAAGTTTCTCTAATCTTCTTAGAGAAATTCAAGAGTTTCAAGATCAGAGAAACTCCAAATTTCGACCCCCCCAAAAAACGACAGTTTTACCCCTGTCGGTTTTTTTTTTGTTTTTTGTGCGAAAAAATAAGTTTCTCTAATCTTCTTGAAACTCTGGATTTTGATAGAGGGCCATGGGACTTAGACCTGAGTGCAAAAATGGAGGCTCTAGACCCTTCCAGAGCTGAGATATTGAGATCCCATGTAACATTTATCCCATTATTTTTATAATGGCATAAATGCTACATGGGATGTCCATATCTCAGGGTACCACTGTCGACTTTTTCGGTGCAAAAAAAAAAGTTTCTCTGATCTCTCGAAACATTGAGGGTGAGTAATTAACAACAGAATTTTCATTTTTGGGTGAACTAACCCTTTAACAATGTCCATTTATCAATGGTGGATTGCCTAATTTCGAGTGTAAATCAAGTAATGACGCAATATACCAGTCACCTGTAGAACACAAATACATCAATTTTAATTGAGAAAATACAAAAAAAAAAAAAAAAAAAAAAAAAAACATGTACAATTTATGTACAAACTTTTTGTACAAGACAGTATGTTTATCAGCAGGCTATATTTGACAGTCATGTATAGATCAGCTTCAGCACCATCAGTTCCTTCACGTCTGGTAGTCGAATCAGTCATATTCTGCTATGAGAAACTCCTTTATACTGTAATGAATATGCCAATAATTACATGTATATATGGATGTTTTGATTATTTATTGAAGTGGAAGAAAAGACAGCAACAAAACAGTAATCCATATGCAAGTTCAGCATGTTAAGACTTAATTCCCCTCCAAGTATTTATTCTGTTACAGTGTATTTTCTTTATACAGTTTCTAAAACTTAAATCTGTCCTTTACAGTAGAATAAAATAGCCAAAATATGACAGTTGTGTATTACATAGCACATCAGTAAGGTTGCTTTATATGTTACTTTAATTAAAACACTCTTGAATACAATGACAGGTGATCGAACTAAACATTATAGTCAGTTCTTCCCAGCATCCTTCAGCCATTGCTGTCCCCTTTTTTGATTTTTCCAGTATCGATAACCAAGTTGCTAGGATTTCAGCAGCTTGTATGGGCACATATGCCTGTTTGAATGCCACTTTTCGCTCTAGTGGGTCTTACGGTGTTCCTCCTTTGTTTTTTTTCCCTGCACTGCCTGGCACTGTCCTGGCATGGAGGCAAGAATGGCTTGGATGTTCTCCATGCCAGTATTAGATGCCACAATATTCATTCACTGTCACAAACCAATGACTGACTGATGCTGGTAGACAGATACATTTCATGGCACTGTAGAAACTGAGATATGTGTACACTGTAGTATCTTCACAAGATGTACAAATAAATTGCATGATGCTAAAACATTGCACATTTGTTGCAGTGGAGAAGAAAATATCAGTATCACCTCATACTACAAAAGGTAACAAGAAAATGTAAGCCAGCTTTATTTTGTAGCTTTGTCATCAGGATTGCTACCTGAGTATGTGTGTTGAAAGAAAGAAAAAGGTCTGTAAACAAACAGCTGGGTTTGACTATATGCGATTGTAAAGGATTGAAATGCTGATGACAAAATGGAATGTTAAAACCTGATGGTTAATAATCCTCACGAAGAAAGAGCTAGTTTGCTTTCTGCTTCCCTCAACGTGCATCTACACTTTTCTCATCAAATGAAACCTGCTGTCTTTACTGCGTGACTTTGTAGTTTCATTACAGGAAAATGACTTTACATAGAAATTGAAATTGGACATTTAACTCAAATGGATTCCTCTTTTTTTCAGGCTAGCAAGTATGTTGACAATCCAATTATACATACAGTTTACTCACATTAGTATTATTCTTTTTTTATTAATTTATTTATTAAGAAATCTACTTGCTACAAAGTGTAACACCAATGTAATCACAATTCAGAAAATCACTTCAGGACCAAGCCTAATTGTCAAATAGACAAACAATAAAGCTGAGATCCTTTTTACTTGAGAGAAAAAAAAAAAAAAAAACGTGGACTAGAACGGGCAGAATTTATACACCAGATTTATCTTCTTTTGCTCAATGGATGGACATGTGCTAATGTCTCTTTTCTTGCATCTACAATCATATGGCTATTAGCTCACTGCAGATCTGACCAAATTACGTTTGCACAAGTACATCAGCATGCTCTTCTCTTTACCAAGACCTAATTTAGGTCAAACATGGCTAATATCACTATAACTCTACCCTCATTACAGAAAGAGCAGAGCCCCTCCTCTTGCACATCTCTGAGTTCAAGTCTGTCTGAGGATCAACATCACTTTACCTGGAATTACAGATAAGTGTCATCAGTCATTCAATATGGGTTTTCATCTCTGTTAGCTTATGAAAATGAAAGCATATATGCTGTTTTAGTAGTAGAGCTCAAAGTCCTTCAAAGCAGCCCATGTGAGTATCAAAGAGCACTCCAGATAGAAGGCTGAAATTGAACCGGTTTGACTCGGTTCACAGATGTTTGACGTGTCCCAGTTGATGGTATGTGATATGTTGTGTTGTCAGGGGTAAAACTGAACTGCTGTGCACTGTAGCTATTACGATATCTTTAAGATACATTTAGAAATAAAGTTCTCTGATATGTATAAAAATAAGTACAAAATGATTACGCTCATGGATAAAAAATAAGTATGTACTTATGTATAAATCTGACAGAGCACTTGAAGCAAAGTTCAAAGGTCTGTGAAGCATATGTATCAGTATACGTTCTACTTTAAAGGTACAACTTATCTGTGTAGCCTTGATAGAAGTGAGTGACGTTCAAATGCATTCAGTCCACAGCAAGAATCATCCACAAGTTACAACTTAGACTGATAATTGAACATTATGATTGAGCTTATGCATTCGGTCTAGAGATTAAGGCATCACAGTTGGTCACAGGGAACATCCAAGCACTTTTCAGCCCCTGTGCCAACCCCGTGTCAGGCAGTGGCTACCCAAAGGAGGAACCAATTATGCCCACTTATCGCAATATGTGGCATTTTCAATTGTATTTTTTTTTTTTTATTTCAGCGCAAAAGCTCAATCATTGTTGAATTATCAGCAGGTGACAGTAGTGTTTCATTCAGTTGTATTAATAGCAGAGCCGCAGACGCAAACAAACGTGTTATAAGCCTCGATCACAGACAGTTTCCCACATCAACAGTCATGTATGATGGAAAGACATCAACAGAAGTAGTGCATATCCTCAATGTATTGCCAATTCCGAAGAGCTACGTTGGGGACGACCATTTGCATTAGGTACAGCAAACATTTCCATCTGTATACGTGCCTAGGTCTGTAGGGATGCAAATGGGCATCCTTTCCTGAGCCAAACGTTCAGGCAGCTTTTCGGCACACACCATGCATGAAGACAGTCACGCAAACACCCGTTTCCTTGGACAAAGCCATTCGTTTAACAGCCTCAGCCTGTGACTTCAGCCCAAACTCAGAGGAGAACCGAGGGTAAGCTTTGACTCTTCTGCGAGCAGTGCTTGAGTTATTATGCGGTAGTGCAAAATGAAATGGACGACGGATACGCAACTCAATCGGCGGGGCTAATCTTTGGGTAGTGTTTGGATGAAGTGAACGACAGTGACCCTCATCCTCCATTATAGCGCCCTCTGCATGGAGTCAGGTCACGGCAGAGGTGAGATATTGCAAAGAATCACAGGAAGTACTATTTGTTTTCTTCTTTTGTTTGCCTGTTAACATAATTTCAAAAAGTGCTAGGGGGGCTGTACAATCCTTACTTGATTGTCATTATGTACATCACTATGTATACATATATAAAAGTATGGAAGTTACATTAAAGGTATACACATAGGAAGTCCTTTCCAGTTCTCAATCGCTTCAGACCCTTGAGTCGAACAAGGGAAGGACAATGTGTCTCCATCATCAACAGTCATCGTTTCGCGATTAGCGCTCATCTTTTACAGCAGGATGACCCAAGTCCCTCTGTGATGGTAAAGGCCGGGGATTCGTTCAGCATTCATCTTCAACTTCTCGAATAGGTGGAATCAGACTGCTAGTGGATTTGTACTGATTGACTTGGTTGGCCATGTGAGTGCTCATGGGCTTGATTTGAATGTTCCTTGGGTATGCATTTTCTGCTTCATCTGTAAACCATCTCTTTTCTGTGAGACAGCCGGGCGGGAGAGAAGTAGAAGGCGAGAGAAACAGTGTTAATATCAGATCTTTAAAGCAGGGTTATGCATCTCTCTTTTAAAAAGAAAAGAAAAACAATACCACGCTCTCTTTCTCTCTCTATACATTAATTCACATTCAGAAAGACACAGGGTGAAACACACATTGTTGGACCTATTACTGATTTCATCAGGCAGCAAAATGTACGGTATGTAAAAGCATTTACAGCCCTCAAACAAGGGTGTATTTTAGCCAAAAGGATTTCGACCCAGTTTTCATGTGATCTGGCCTTTGAAATTAGGTATTTTAATCTGAAATGTTTTCTACAAGGACCTAAGCCACGCGCAGCGCCAGCATCTGTACTCATCATATTCACATTCTTCTAGGCGGTGTCATTTCCCAGCACTCCAACATTTCCAACTATTCCTCCAACTTGAAATGTGCTGCACACCTTGGAGTGTCAGGCTGCGACGGGCCACGGGGAGGAAGAGTGTCACGGCGAAGTCGTTTGATGTAAGTGGAGCTGTGCCTGAGGTGGTGCAAGGAGTCAGCCACCTCACTCCGTTCCCCTGAGTTTACTACTGATGCTGGAACTTACATCGCCTCGAGACATCCTGTGGCTCCGCAAGGGTTAAAAGAGCCAATTTCAGCAGCACAGGGACTCTCATCATGGTTCCCCTCTCACACGGATATTTGAGGTGAATTTAGACTGAGAGCGGAACGTGAAACCACTTTCGCCTGGTTTGAGTGGGGAACTTTTAATGGACCAAATCTATGTTTTTGAGGTTGTACAGTATAGTAATCTTACTCGTCATTAAAAGATGTTATTAGGAATGCAGCCAAGATGCAAATATGACAAAAGCCACCAATGCGTCCTTAACAATCAGCAATATTGTCAAGACAGGTTAATCAACCAATATCTGGAAATTGCAGACTGATAATTTGTAAATAAAAAATCTTTATACATTTCATAATAGATTTTTTTTTTCATTAATATGTATTTTACACAATATTTATTCAAATTTCAAATTAAAAGAAATATCAACTGTCAGCACTATCAATGGATAATGCATTTTTAACAAATATGATATAAAATACCTGTTTATTTTGTGAATCTTTGCAATGATTTTGAATAAGAATTCTACATTTTACATTTAAAGGGATAGTTCACCCAAAAATGAAAATTCGACCATCGTTTGCTCACCCTCATGTTGTTCCAAACCTCTATCTGTTTTTTTGGTCTGCTGAACACAAAGGAAGATATTTGGAAGAATGTTTTAATCAAACAGATCTCAATCCCCATTGACTACCATAGTATGTATTTTTTCCTACTATGGTAGTCAATGGGGATTGAGATCTGTTTGATTAAAACATTCTTCCAAATGAGGGTGAGTAAATGATGAAAGAATTTTCATTTTTGGGTGAACTAACCCTTTAATATTTAATAAAAGTTCAGATTTAACAAGTTATATTTACATACTGTATATTAAGCTTTGTATGTAACTATTATTAATCAGTTAATTTAATTAGGATTTAATTGAATGGCTTTGAAAATGATTCAGATTATATTATATAGGCCTATGTATTTTACAAATGCAATTTTTGAACTGGATGACGTTACAAACAAATACATTTTGATGAACTACCTGCAGAAACAATGTGCAGACACACTGACCTCTCACACAATGCAGTTTGTCTTAGAGAAAGAAAGAAAACCTAATGAGAGGTAAATGAACAAGAGGAACTGAAATAAGTCAGAAATAAGGGGAAATAATGAACTGAAATAAGGGGACTACTGAGAGAGATCACTGAAACCTATCAGATGGACGGAGGTATAGAGAGATGATGATAGTCAACCGCATGCACTGCTGGGATGGTCCTGAGCATGACAAGAGTTAAGCAGTAGCAGCAGCCATTTGCTTTCAGTTAGAAAGCAAAGGTGAAAAGTAGGCATGATTTTCTTGGAAAGTAAAATCAAAATCCCCTCTCATAACAGTGCTCCACAAAGGACAAAGTTATGATTAAAAGATCCCACAACAGGTGCTGTATCATGCAGAATCATTAACTTGCATACCTGGGCCCATTCTATTCATCCTTGTTGCACTTTAGAAAAAAAAGTGGTCTATGTAAGTTTTACAGTGTTTAAGGCAAGTAACAGAATAACTGACATCATATGTCTACATTTTTAGTCTGGTTAACATTGTAAATGTAAAAAAAAAATCATAACCATTTTTATTTTACACTAATAGGGAATGGTTCTTAAAAATTCTTAAATGCTACTTTAAAATATAAATTCAGAATTTAAGATTTACAAACTATTCAAAATACTTGTTTTAAACCTCAATTTTTGTAGCTTGTATTAAAAAATAGATCTAAAATAATCTAATTTTATCCAGATAGTACTGTAAAACTCTTTAAAAAGGACAACATTTGAATCTCAAATATTAACTAATATAACCTACTTTTTTCTCTCACAGGGGGAATATATTACAAAATCTAAATCTCTAGGCACGCATCGTAACAGGCACTGAAACCAATGCAGGGTTTTACAGCATCCCATAATGCCTTGCAGCTCCTCCATTCAGGTGAGAGATAAGTTTCAACAACAGCTTCACGACGGCTGTATATGTAGATGATACAGATTTCAAAACAGTACATTTTAAAGGATCCACAATTAAATGATCCAAAATGGCACGAGAAATACACACCATACGGGTTTCTGCACCTGCAAGGCATGTAGGGATGGTGTGAAACTATTTATGCTATGATAATGGCTCTATACCCTACCTGGAACATTCAAATAAAATCACTAGAGCATAACTAAAAAATAAGCCACTAACACAGAATAAAAACATGATGATGCAATTTGCAGTTCTCACACACACAAACACACAACAACGATTAGACAAACAGAAAGGCAAGACATGAATTAATGCCGTTTCCTCACTCAAAATAATCCATATTAACTATATACAATTAAGCTTAATAATGAAAATTAACTAAACATTTCTAGAGGTCTGCATGGGACCTGCAAATTGTATACCATTATTAATCATTCATATAGTTAACATTCCGAAATTAGGTTGATTGTGTCTGTACAAGTGCAGCAGTGATATGCAGACTGATGCTGGTATATGATGTGGCGATGATCAAATGGTCATAGAGCTCAGTGTGTGGTCAAGGCAAGGGCCACATGCACATTACAATGAAGCAAACTCACAAACAGAACAACAAACGCTGGGTACAAATGCACACACATCCTTTTTGTACGAAGTGTGCTAAAACCACAAACGCACACATACACTCTACTGGGTTAAAAAGAGAAGGCCAACTTACTTCTGTTTGTCACGGGCTTCACGTGCTTTGCTGCTGCGGTTCTGTCGGTTCGTGGCGGGGATGGAGTGAACAGACGAACTCTTCTTGCTGGATGAATGAGAGGAATGGGAGGAGTGGGACAGGCTTGCTCGGGACTGGCCCGCGTTGTGGTCGAACTGCATCAGACAGAATATCAGGTCCGTGGGCACCAGCTCAAACTCATAAGGCGGATTTGTGATGACATATCTGTGCACATGGAAAGATGACACTTATGTTAAGGAATCCCATGTAGGAGGAAATAATGGCTTGTTTCCAGTAAGCGGTGCAGTACGGGACGGGACGGTACAGTACAGTATGGTTCGGGTCGGTAAACCATGATCCGGCTAGCGTTTCCACCGCCAACAGTAGCCTTACTTGTTAGGTGTGGTGTTTGTCGCTTTCTTCGTGCGAAAATGAGGTTGATCGCTACTTTCGGGCATAGTCAACAACAATGGATGACATACAGCAGATCTTGTTCTTGCATCTCGGCATGTTTGTCACAAGAAACAAGCGCCGGCATTAGGCGTTTCTCAATACCATTTAGCCTACGCAAAGTCCGACTCAGGAGAATGACTACCGAGGACGCAAGTCCAGTAATTCTGCTAATGGAATAGTGCGTTCATGAAAGCAAACCTCGCTCAGCTACTCCAGCTATCTCTGTGTGTACATTTTAGGCAAAAATAAAAGCACTCTGCTTCTTTTCGATTTCATTTAAATACATTTTAAACATTATAAGCACACAAATGCGGTTCAGGCAATGCATAGCATATTGATTATATTCACTGCATGTATGGTAGCCTATATTTATAACAAAACTAAATATAAAACACAACTCTGCCTCTTTATGTTTAAATTTAGAAATATTAAACATATTCCAGGCAATATGTGCATTGGTACAAATGTTACAATAAACAACATTATAGATGATCTTGTAATGAAATAAATAAATGACAAAAAAACAATCCTCTCTCTTTTTGTTAAATTTCAGTTTTATCAATAATAGCCATTATAACAAAAAGCTATACAGTAAAGCTTTAATAACATAAAGCGAACAATTCAGTCAAATATACGAAATATATATGAAACTTCACTTGGCCTTCTGCCAAAACTATTGGCCAGGGAACGAATTATAGATTCACAATACCAAAGATCGCCTGTTAGGTCTATACAAGACGAATTATATCTCCTGTTTAACCACTACAGAGACGTCAGAGTCAGCGGCAAACATCAGAAGGACTAGCCGAGGAAAGGTGGGGAACATGAGCGCCGAGCGCCCGGTGATTGATTGGAATGGATCTTAGTCAAATTATCATAAATCTATAATTAAATACTGTAGATCTGAGCTTTAAAAACTGCATTCTTGCCTTAAAACTACATTTCTTGACACAATAACAGTAGCATTATATTCCAACAGTATATAAAAAAAAAAGTGCTTCTAATGCCCTTGTAGCACGCGAGGAGTCTAGTTCCACCTATTAGTACCGTACGACTGTGCTAGGTACCTCAACGGATGGGTCCCCAAAAAGTGGTACGGTACGGTTTGGCAGTGGATTTTTTGACAGTGGAAACGCAAATAATTGCATACCATACCAAACTGTACCATACCGTACCACACCACTCAGTGGAAACAAGCCATAAAGCATTTACTTCACCTGTTTACCTTTTTGCACTTACAATAATATTGAACAAATTTAAAAAAAAAAAATTCTTCTCCAGCTTTGTGTGGATAAAAGAAAGAAAAAAATGAGCATATACCCTCACGAATATCAGATCAGACTATCAGACTATTTGAATATATTCTATAATTAATTTATTCCTGTGATGAAGCTGAATTTTCAGCATCATTACTCCAGTCTTCAGCATCACATGATCCTTCAGACTTCATTCTAATATAGGTGCTTATGAAACATTTCTTATTATTATCAATGTTAAAAACAGCTGTGCTGCTGAATATTTAGGTGGAAACTGAGAAACATTTTTATTCTTTGATAATTAGAAAACAGCATTTTTATCTGAATCGTTTGTAACATTAGCCGCTTTTCCACTGTTGTGCTGAACGGTTTTAAAAATGAAAAGGAACGGTTGCGGTTATATTTCCACTTGAGCTTGGTTCGGCATGACACGATTACAAACCATTCTCAGAATTCTCAGCACAATAGGCTAACCATGCAGAACTATGCTGGTAGAATGCATTTAGTGCCGTTGCCACATTCTCTGTAGCTGGGTTAATAAAATAATTTTGTGATCATCCTCCATAACACAGTTGCCTTAGAGATATTTGTAACAGAAGGGTTTACAGAGGAATGAGATGAATGTTATCAGCTCCACAGTGAAAAATGAAACCATGTCCGTAATGGCTGGGCCGGATCAGCACGGACTGGAACGGTTAAGCAAAATGAGAACAGTTTGGCCCGATGGTGGAAAAGCGGCTATTGTAAATGTCTTTATTGTCACTATTGAACAACTGTATGTGCCCTTGCTGAATAAAATCAATGATTTCTTTAAACAAAATTATTAGTGTATCTTATAAGCAAGCATAAACTTGTGAAGATTTGTGTCAGGTGTTCCTCTATGTTGCCTAGGTAGGGAGCTCACTAGGTGCTGGAACTGAATTTATAGGAATAATTTAGGCTTCAATAAAGCTCGATTACATGCCTAGTGAAATAAAGAACTAAAACTCTACTGACATCGAGGTTAATAGTTAAAATGGACAGCTCACCTTTTTGTGCACTGGCTTGGTGCACCTAAATGTGCATCTCGCAATCTGTAGATTCCAAAGCAAAGCATGTTGTACGTTTTTAATGCTTTACAAAATAAGTCTCCGTAGCAACCACCATCCTGAAAAAGAACACAAAATAGTGTTTTAAGTGTTCATTCATTATCTCAGGCATGACAAAATCTGTTGTTTGGGTGTTGTTTGCCTCATTCTTAGCATTTGTATCCTAGTCCACTGCTATAATAAAATGTGTGGCATTCTTACTTGGATACAGAGATATTATGATTTAAGGCATTTTTCACCCACAGACTTTGCGTATTCAGCTCGTTCACTTTGTATTACCGGGTAGGGGAGGCGTCGGACGAGGAACGAGGCCTGTTGGGCAAAGTGACAAAACTTGTCAGCTCCTCTTAACCGTCCACTTACCCCCAAGTCTGCGAAGGGCCCATCGTATAGGGCCAGCTGGGCGACCCGACACCTGTCCCTGTTAGCCAGCGTCTGTGGCGTGCTGTAGCCACCTCTCAGCGCATTCTCCTCAGCCAACAGGCCCTCCAGCTCCGGAGTGGCGCCTCCCGTGACCAGCGTCCGGATCAGGGTGAGGATATTATCATTGAAGTATGTCTGCCAAGATAAAGAAGAGGATCCGGACGTGAGCACCATTAGAGTCACAACTCAAGACAGTCAGGAATTTGGAGCTGTCCTGAGCACTGTTATCTAGACCCTGATCTGTCTTTTCGCATTTCACTCCCTGCGAAGGGAAGAGACACGGGAATGCAATTACGCCAGCTGTTGTTGTTGTTGTTGTTGTCTCCTCCCCACGCACATTCATTTTGGTAACACCAGCCACGCTTAACAGGGGAGCGTTTTGCACATAAGGACATTTTAATTATCATTATTGTTGATAATTTTAGATTAGATACAATGAAGAATATATAACACAACAGTGTTGTGGACAGTTTTCTTGTACAGTGGAGACAACCGGTGAATTTTTCTAGCAGTTTGAGGGAATAGTTAGATTTGGAGATCTGAAGCCATTCAGCTGCGCACAATTTCAAAATCATTAGCGATTTATAAATTTCACATCTGGAAGAGGTTTGCTCTCTGAATCACATTTGAGAAATCATTGCAAAATCAAATGTACGACGGTTTCTATGAAACATTTTTTAAATGAGGCCCCATTTGTTTAATTAAAACCTGATGATTCATGATATCTGGCATTTGTTAACATGGCCAATGTTACAATTTGATTAGTGACCAACAAATATTTATTATTCACTTCATTTCATTTATACTCTACAAGTTTGGGGGTGGTATAGAGTTTTTATGTTTTTAAAATAAGTAGAAAGAATTTGACCAAAAACGATAAAACAGTAATATTGTGAAATATTAATACAATTTAAAATAACTGTTTTCTATTTTAAAATGTCATTTATTCATATCGCTGAATTTTCAGCAGCCAGTGTCACATGATTATTCAGAAATCATTCTAATATGGTGATTTGATGCTCAAAAAACATTTCTAATTATCAACATATTTTTGTGGGAACCATGAGATATTTATTTTTCAATGAAAAAGCATTTATTTGAAATTTAGATCTTTTGCAGCTTTCATGTAAATATCTTTACTGTCACTTTTGATTATTTTAATATGTCCTTGCTGAAAAAAAAGTCAGTCAGTGACCCCACAATATTAGACAGTAGTGTGTTTTACCTGTTTTACAACTTTTGATAATGACTGCAGGTTTAAGTGATCTCTGACTTGTGGATCCCATTGCATCTTGTCCATCAAATGTTCTTCAGTGTCACTGATGATAAAGTTGTCGAATGATTAACGTGTAAAAAAATATAAGATTCTACTAGGATCACGAGGTCGTTTGTTTGAGCACCAGAGGGCTGTGTCGCCGTGAGCTCGCGTTAGAGTGACACCTCTCTGGGCCCCTGACAGCAGCATTCAGCCCAATGATGGATGAGAGCTGTCTATTAGCAGGCTTCACCTTTGTCCACAGTGAAATGCACTTGAAGGCTGCTTTGTTCTAGCTTCACTCAAAGTGAAAGCTACTGGAATTAAGCCATCATATGGATAAGGGGATAGCTGCAGTCGTAGGTGGTGAGGGGAAAAAGCTACAAAGAATAAGAGAGAAAAGGAAAAAAAAAAGGTATCTTTCCTAATCAACCCAAGATGACATTGTTAGGAGATTAGAGCTCTTGGACCCCAAAGCAGCCCACCTTGCGTGTCAAGGCATACTATTAAAGAAAACTTGAGCACTTACCTTGTTAAAAGATCTAATAAGACTCTTGAAAGTTTATTTCATGACACATTATATGAGGAGTCTTGGCAACAACTTTCCTTTTGATGTCACCGCTGCTGACAGTGCTGTCTGATCAATGTGGCATTTCATTTACCAACCTCTGCCTACTGGTAACGTCTGAGCCCTACATCTAAAGCACTGCACAGCCGGAGGATGTCTCTTTCCTATACATTATTTCAGAGGATTAGCAGTGAGACATGCCTTCATGTAATTCTATATGACATGCCATGATGGGAGAGAAATGACTGTGCACCTTTTGACAGGTTCCTTTGTTCACCAAATCACAAGCTGCATTTGAATGCGAACGGAAAGATCATCTGACGCCTAGTAGATAGTATGAAGGATCCTTCACACAATTAAAGGATCTAAATCGACTTATTCAGCAGGGATAATTTCTTTAAAGGGTTTATGCATGTTAATCTGTTTAAAGGAAATCAAATCAGTAAATAGGTGTCAACGTGGCAGCTGTTTAGCCACTAACTCACCGCACTCATCAGGGAGTCCAACACGCTGACGGCGAAGGCAGTACCACAGGCAAACGGTTGGGTCAGATACAGCTCCGTATCTGGGTCGTCATCATCATCTTGGTCCAAAAACTGAACGTTGGAGTCATTTACTGCAGTAGAGAGACAGAAGTTTTACATCTGTACAGAAGGGACAACCAATGTCCTGCAAATGGTGAAGTGGTGTGTCTAACCAACCATTGGTAAACAGGTCCATGAATACAAATAAAATATGAATACATAAAAAAAAAAAAAAAAAATTACATGCACGTCAGTGGGCATGCATTCTGGAGATACATTGAATTATTGATATCTGGACAATGCAGTGCCGAAAAATGGTGGAATCCAACTTAAAAAAATAAATAAAAATTCTGTCTTCAATTACTCACCCTCATGTCATTCCAATTGTGTATTATGAAAAATATTGCAATTTAAATCATTAATCATACACACACACAAAAATCTTCCAACCCAATTACAATTCGCATGTTCACGAGAAAAGTCGTGCGTGATCTACAAATCGTTCTTTTGAGTCAGATCTTGTCAAGAGTTGTTTGGTTCTGGTTCTCAAAACTGATCTGCACGATTTGATCATGAATCTGATGCAATGATCTAGTCACAGCCGTTAATAGATCACAAGAGGGGAAGACTTAAATTTATATCTGTTTCTAAAACAAAACTATTGTATGACTTCAGAAGATGCGGGAATATACTGTAGTGTACAAGTATTATGACCCTACCTTTATTAAGCTTCTTTATCCTTTTTGGAAAATGAAAGCCTTAATCCCCATTCATTGTAATTGCATGGAAAATGTCTTTTTTCATACGTGTTTTGAACAACGTGAGGGTTTATAAATGATGAAAGAATTGTTATTCTTTGGGTAAACTATGCACAATTGCCAAAATGCCATTGTAGAGTAATAGAGAACTCTTGTATTAGACAAACTGCAAGAATTTAGGTCCACTTATTTAAAACAACCAGCTTGGTATCTTTGGTTGGACAGCAGAAGCAGCCAGATTGCTTTAAGGCTATTGTTTATAGTCTCAGCGGCCAATGTATAGAGACAATGCTCTGAAATCCCGTTCGGTTTGAACACAGCCTCACACAATCTTTGTTTCACCCCTTTCAAAATCTATGCTTCAGAGATTAGGGCCAGCACCAAAATAAATAAATAAAAATAAACAGCTTAAAGCAAGGTTTGATCTGGATGTTTTTTTTTCTAATTTGATTTCTTCCCAGACTTCCTGTGAGCTAAGGAAGAGAAATGTCAGTCTTTCAGACAGGCCGCTGATGAAAAGGAGCCCGGGCCAGAGAATTGAACTGCAGGGAGATGCTATGGAAACAGCCACAAGGACAGACTCGCATGATCAAAGGCCTAGTGATGCTCTGAGAAAGAAAAAAAAAATCCTTAAAAAGGCCAAAACAAGACAGTCAATTTCAACCAGAACTAAGGATAAAAATGTGTTCAAAGTGATGCCATGGGAGCAGGCCTCAGCTGCAGCGAGAGAAATCAAGACAAGCCGATGAAGGAGGCAGTGCATCAGAGTAGCGGAGGACAAAGGCGCAGCTTACCCAGTTCGGTTATCATTTGTATGTTGGTTCCACTGTTTTTTTCCTGACTGAATGAAACCAAAGGCAGTAGTTTGCCAGGCTTAGCTAATGATGATAAAACAGTGTTGAGGGGAGACAGTTATTGAAACAAGTTCAAAGTCAGAGAAAAAGAAAGCATAAAAGAGAGTATCATGTCAAGAGTGGGATTAGAAATCTAAAGGTACAGCGTCAAGATGAATCGCTTCTGTAAGAACTCCATGGAACAGTTCAGCCGTGTTTGTTCATGATAACGGGGATGTTGTGCGAGCTTAGGTATCTACTGCACTGCAAATAGGGGAAAGATTACTATGAACCATTTAGAACAGAAAACGTGTAATGTGTAATCGCACATATTCCAACACTGATACTGCATGACTGATTTACCAGGAGCTCCATTGACGGTCAATGATTCGCTTGTGTAGAGAACTGAATATGTCCGGTTTGCTGGCAATCTGCTGATAAAGATGTGTTTCAAAAAGTAACTGTGAAGTATGTTTAAGTGAATTATACGCTACCTTTACACAAAAAAAAAAATTCAAAAGGCAAAGAACTTCTAGTTAAATCATTACAGCAAAACCTCAGTATCAGTGTGATCCACTGAACCGAAGATCCATATGAGTTCTTTAAATGGCTGATGGTGATACCGACATCTAGACGGTGGCCAATGGCCCACATATTTATTTATACTATAATTTAATGATGACAAGAAGACATACAGTACATCTTACACAACATATAACATACATTAAATAACAACATACATATATATATATATATATATATATATATTAGGTCTGTCAGTTTAACAAGTTAACGCAAACCCATTTTAACGCAATCGTTTTTTTTATCGCGAGATTAACAGTCTTTTTGGCCTAGCAAACTTGAGGGCTTTTTTTCTAACTTTTTTTTTTACATGTTTTTGCAACAGAACGCGACATGCATGGCGCTGCGCAATGAAACCCATTGATTTCAATGGCTTGCACCCATTGACAAGACCAAAATGATCTGTTGTTGTGAACTGAGCAATCACAGCACGTCCAGTCAGAAATACCACTTGATGCCCAAGCACACACACAGCTGATGCGAATTCTCCACCCCCTCATCAATATCAGGACCTCGTCAGTATTTCTTTCACCCTTTTATTGATGGAAAGTGTTACATTGTATGAGAGATATTATTTGCTTCAAGTGAGAATGTTTTAGTGTGAAATTGAACACAGTATTGTCAATGTTGTTTTTAATAAAAAAACATTTGCACAAAGCAAGCCGATCCACTTTTCCATGTAGATAAGAGCATTAAAATGAGAAGAAAAAAAAATAAAGGGACAAAAAGAAATCAAGAGTTTTAGAATAGATAAAAATTTGAGTTAACTATGACATTAATGCGATTAATCGTGATTAAGTATTTCAATCGTTTGACAGTGCTTATATATATATATATATATATATATATATAGTAAAAACAGTAAAATACTGTTAAATATAATAATATATCCTTAATATATTTCAAAATTTAATTTATACCTGTGATAGCAATACTGAATTTTCAGCATAATTATTCCTTTCAAAAAAAAAATATAAATATAAATAAACTAGCTCCCAACTTTTGAATGGTAGTAAATATTATCCATTGATTTTGATTCAATTTACTATGGGATTTATATGTGATATTGGTTACACTTAATTTTAAGATGTTTGTGTTACAGTGCAATTAAAAATGATACTGAGTATTAATAAACAACATGCACTTACTATAGGTTTAGGTTTATAATTAAGGTGTGGTTTAAAGTTAGTTACATGTAATTTATAGTATTGTAACTACATGTGACGTGTAACAATGAAACTTTATTCCATTACTTCCGTTACTGACTTGTTAGTCAGTATGTAAATACAGTTACACTTTATTTTAAGGTGCCGTTGTTACACTGACATGATATATTTAAGTAACGAGTAATATTAAGTGACTACATGTACTTACTATAGGGTTTAGGTTTGGTTTGGTTTAAGAGTAATTGCATGTTATTTTATAGTTATTACTATAGAAACGGCATGTAACATTCTCTATGTAAAAATGACACTAAAATAAAGTGCTACCTTAAATGCTATGTCAGTGCTATAAATGCGTTTAGTGCTTCATGAATAACTCTTCTCCATTTTGAGTTCATTTTGAGAGCACTTCAGATTTCCGGTTAGCCATGATGATCGGAGTAGCATAGAAAAACAACATGTGAATATTTATTTAAGAAATAACCAATTCACATCACGATAAACAAGTGCCAATTTATGTCTACAATTCTTGTATTATTAGATTGAACATCCAGTCTTTGCTCTTGAATTACAGAAGGACACTGTCAAGAGGCTGAAAATATCCTCTCAACCAAAAAGTCAAACTCTAGCTTTCGATTAGTCAATGTCAAGTATTAGTCAATGTTTTTAAGGACACAAGACATGGTGAGCCTTTATATAAGATTCTAATGATTATACTACAATATGAAAATGCCAGCAAACCTTTAGTAAACCAAGCCCTGTGTGTCCCAGATGACGGACTTTGTAAACCCTCAGGGAGGAGGACTTCTGGATCTAATGCATGTCTTAGCAGAACATATGTGTATGTGTGAGGAGTGTGTTTTGAATGAAGTTATAAGAGTCTGTAGGGCCTATTCTCTTTCACAGCCTTTCTGGTGTAATTGGGTCAGTGGAGAGTTGGAGCAGCCGGTCTCTAGTGCTTTAGTGCCCTCTGAGATCTAAAACTTTCATGAGTCCCCCCACCATGGGAATAGTGCCACCCTCATTGTTATTTATAAATGAATCCATTTTGCTACTACATGCTTTTTTTCTCTCCCTATAAGTCTAGGTCTCTTCCAGTGCATTAAAGGCACAACTGATGACTTTGACCCAGTCGGTGAAATATTCAGGTGTGCCATTACACACATCACAGACACATACTTCATAAGAAGCACATCAGTGTGACTTGATAGGGGAGTTTAGATTCTAATCACACTTGACTTTGACATGTTAGCAGTATGACTGCAGTCGTGTCTCACCGAGTTCAGTTATGATCGGGATGTTTGATCCCGTGGTGACGGATGCCTGCCGCACTAAGCCGTGCACTGGACTGTTATCTGGAGATGACCTATCCATCCCCGGAGGAGTGAAACCTGGAAGAGAAAGTGGAATGAGACTGTCAAATCCTCTACTCTTTTTACAGTGCCCAAAAAAAAAAAAAGATTTGAAATGGTGAACAAACCATTGGCATGACAGTCAGGCCATACAAAAAATAAGATTTTCTTTGTACGATTCTAAATGTACTGCACACATTGTAGAGTTTGTGGTGGTAGGATACGAGTGGACTGTCATGCTAGTCTAAAACAGTGAAATACAGATCATCCGTTTCTAAGGGTCAGCTCAGGCATATTTAGCATTTGCTGCCTTCCATCAACCAGCAGGTATAAATTTTATATGCTGTTCATTTTGTTACCGTAAAACTGGTGAAGTGGATCCTGAAAACCTTTTATGTGAAATGCCATGAAATACAAGCAGGAGTGACAAGAGTATGAATTCACATGACTTGACACTTTTGCATTTCCTCAAGCTGACAAGTAAACACTTTAAATCAGTAATGCTATATGCATAATGCATTGGCCCTGTTTTGAAATCCATCGACTGGAGAAAAATGCAAGCGTATAGTTTTTACAGTGACGAATATAATGCAGGGAAAAGATTCAGGTCACAAAGTTTTCAAAGGCCTGCAGAATTCGGTACAAAAGGTTGTCCTTCTTTTCAATGGGGAAGTTCAATAGACTAGCTTTCTTTATAGCTCTTAACAAAAGAATACACAACAGAGAGAGACTTTGTCTTAAATTTGCAGAGAATAATCACGTCTCCTGTTGTGTGAATTGTGAAGACATCAGATATGCAGTGGCAGTACGAGTCAACCATCTGGCATTCTGAATAACATCTTTGCTTTTGGATGCTGAAGAGCAATAGTACTGTTGACTATATTGTTTATTTTTACTATACATGTTGGATAAGTGTATGAATATTTCACAATATAAAGCATCTCAACAATTTAAAGACTGCATATACATGCTAGAATATTATTATTATTATTATATCAGAATTCGGTCGTATTCTCTCATAACCAGATTAAGTAAATATTCTGATCTCTATAAAACTGAATACAACAGCTGGTATGTGCCTGTGTTAACCAGAATTTTGGGTCAGAATATTCACTGAAACTGAACATTCATTCATATTCGAGCAACTCCAAACTAAGATAATACTATGTGACAGTAGATAAAGACAGTTGTGAAGTCAAACAATAGTATTAGTAAGAGATAACTATTGTTCATGTTACCATTTCTGGTTATATTTATACAGGAATATGTCAATAGAATTTAAACACGATAAAACTGTCGTATCTTTTAAAAAGTGGAATAAAAAGTATAACCGCATCTCACTTGGTATTGTGCAACTTTGTGTTTATTGTTGCACATCGATCACACTTCATAAAGTTATTCGCCCTCCACACAGACCTTAAAGTCACGTTATAAATTCTGCTTTAGTTTGTTGTTTTCAACCATAATGCATTACGTAGCCTGGACTTGGTGTACTTTATTCAAAGACGCCTTAAGCACTGATAGCAGTGTCCTGTGTAGTACTTTCTCCTGGCAAAAGGCTTGCTGATTTATTCAATAACACCGTCTGTGCAAGATTAACAATCCGCACTGAAACGGCGAGGTTCTGAGGGCAAGAATATTTACAAAGATGATGTGGTATGATGTAATTTATTACATCTCTCTCTCTCTTTTACATTTGGTAAATATGGTTTCTTTTATTTTATAAAAGAAAATGCAATTATGATGTGTAATTATGTAACATAAACAATAATAAAAACAACATATTTGCCAAGTTGGACCTATAATCTGGGGGAAAAGAGCATGAATAATTTGTTATTTTTTTTGCAGCAAAAGTTTTCTTGGGAATAAACGGAGAACAAGAAAACTGTTCATTGTGGGATAAATTATGTTCTAATACACTGTGTTAATGAAATAAATCTTTATTTCACAACATTGCTCTGCTTTTGGATCATGCCAGATGTTGAATTAAACAAGTTGAGAGAGTAGTAATGACCAAGCACTCATGGAATCTGTACACACACTAGAAATCAGTCACAAATTTCTACACATAATATTTTGGCTAATTTGATTATGCTTTCAGTCACTGATAAGGTTGAAGTACTTTCAACTCCACTTTGAAATCAGAATTCTTCTAAATCAGCACAGACAATTGAAACAGATTTATTCCGGGCCTGGTAATGACGTTTTCTTCACGTGCACAAAGAGTATAATTATCATCTATTATCATCCACAGCAGAGGGATGTGCTCTTCCTCAACACTACACACTGTTCAGCGCGAGCCTTTGGGACAATATTGGACACATTTCATCCGAAAGCTGTCATTTTGAAGCTTTAAATCTATCTTTCTGTGCAAAAAGTAGATACTCAATAATGGTTGAAATGTTAATTGTTGTGGGCCAGCTTGTGCGGTGTGTATAATTTACGTAATGAAGAGCAGCTGAGAGAGTGAAGCTGCTGATTTGTAAAGTCTGTTTAATGATGATGAATCCTGATGGGCACAAGAGGGTTACATGTTTATCTGAATGCATAAACAATCTGTTCGAGTCAATTTGTCGGCAAACAAATCTGCTGCGGTCCAGCAATTGGAGGCAAATTTGCAATCTGCACAAAAACGTTAGGGATGTTTTTTTGTTTTTTTTCAGAGCTTTGAATAAAGGGAAAAATATAATTCACGTGCTCAGAATTACATGCATTTTCCAATAATGGATATGAAATGCAAATTCTTCAATGTATAACAGTCTTTAGTTTCATAGACATTTAATGTTTGCATAAAGTGTCTAAATGACTGTTTAATTGTCTTTCCTAATGCACAAACACTTTTATTCTTTGATAATTCATGTCCCACTTTGTTTTATTAAACCATTTGGGCATATAATTGGACCTTGTTGTCTTTGAAAGCACACAGTAAAGTGCTGGTTTCACAGTCTAAAGCTCTTGAGAGGTATTCTCCATGTGCTGAAGTATTCTTGGCCACTCCTTACCTTGGGAATTAGCCTGCAAGACCCCAATGCTGTCATCAAACTGCATAGATTTGATGTTAAGAGACGCCAAGATGCATTCCTTGTCCTGCAGTGAAGCATCGTCGATATTGTTCTGATTGGCTGACAGGATAACGCACATGTCGCAGAGGTTGATGTTGACGGCTCTTAAATCAGCTCGACTTAATGGCGTACCCTTCAGCGGAGAGAGAGGAAAAAGAGGAAGAAAGAGAAAAACAAATTAAAGACGGCACCGAGCTCAGGGAAATTAGTTAACAAGTATTTACTTTTCTAAAGGCAGTGACATTCAGCTGATCTAACTATGCGCTGAGGGAAGAAGAGATGTAGTCTAATCTAAAGGCTAGCCTTTGCTGACGGCAGCTTTTTGGCATCGTTTTTCATACTCAGTCAAGGCGATGCTAACAAGCACTAGAACAGGAAGCAAAGCCTGAGATTCACACGACCCACAGGAACCTGCCGCCAGAACATCGACACTTGAAAACAAATTGTGGTGGTGCTATTCCATGCAAAAAGCTTGTAAAAGGGAACATCTTCTGCAAAAATAAAGTCTCACTCCTTGAGTCACATGAATTCATAACGTTTACAGACAGCTTGTTTTCTCCAGGTGTAAAAGCTCTAGGCTCATTTACAATGCGTGTATACTCACTGGTAAGATGGAGACTTTGGGGAAGTTGTGAAGGGTTTCCCACTCTCTTCTCAGATAATCTAATGAGCCCACAAACACAATGGGCTTTAGCTCGTGGTAATGGAAGTTGCTTGCTCTCAAAGGCATCACCAAGTTTCGAAGCCCCACTAAAGCTGACGTGACATCTCCGAATATACAGACTACTACATGTCCACTTAAAACCGTCATGGAGGCCTCGCTGCGTGTCTGTGGTGAAAAAGCCAGAAACAAACAAGACAGTTACAATCTCGTCAGCAAGAATGGAATAAGAGCTCATATATTGTCACCCATTCAAAAACACAAAACAAGCTGCAAGCTAAAAATAAAAAGGGCAGAAAAATTCAAAAGCTGTATTTACAGTAATTGATTGAAATCTGAACACAAATGTTTTTTTCAGAGCTTTGATTACAGGGTAAATATATAATGCACTAGCTCAAAATGGCAAATTGTAACAATGAGCATACATATGCACAATTCTAAAATGTATACCTTTTTACATTTAATACATATATATATATATATATATATATATATATATATACACACACACACACACACACACACACACACACACACATCTTATTATTTTTTATTATTATTTCTCACATACATGTCGTTTTTTTGTCGTGCTTTTAAAACACTGGATTCAGCATTCAATTTGAGCATGGTTGATAATGAAATGAGATGTGAACAATTTTTATGTATTTTTTGTTTGTTTTCAACTGGACAAAATCAGTGATTTCATAGCGCTACAAGAACATTGCATGAATATAGTATGATGTAAATATGGAATTATATCACTCTCAGTTCTTAAGATTGCACTTAAAATGTGCTGAATTCTGAAACAATAAAGGTCAAATTCTTGTGACTAGGTGATTTATAGGTGACTTTGTGAGAACACTGCAATTAGAAAGATACCTACCAGAATGACCTTCTCAATTTCTTTGGAGGGACACCAGTGAAACATTCCAGTAGAGTCGTATCTTTTCACATTAGCATCCATGTTCTCAATCTGCTCGTTTCCCGGAATGAGCAGAGGGTCATGTCTGAAAAGAGAGCATGAGGAGGAGAAAACGTGTAAGAAGAAAACATGTTCACGGGCCCTATTTGCAAATGCAGGTTAATAAAAATGCAACTGTGGGAATTTATCTTCTGGCCTTAATTGTGACATTTGTCAAAGGACAAACTTTCCTCACATCTCAATAGACGTCTATCGACAATAAATAAGCAGTAAACAGCCTTGTGCTGACATGGCTTGTCATTGTCAGATTGAATTTGTGCATTGGACTCCATCATAACTGCAGCTCTCTCCGGGCTGCCAAGACTGCGGAGTCATCAAAGTGTCCGCGCCGGTGACAGCACTGGAGTGCGAGAGATGGAGCCGGAGCACTTCAGTGACTGAGTGGCACCAGAATGGAACGCCAATTACCGGCTTTTACTTCACATCACTCCTGACGTGATGCGTCCAACGGTAAAAGCTTTAACAGAGGCACACTTTAAATATTTTAGGAATTTGCCCAATCACATTTTGCTCCCCCAAACTGAAGGCCATTAATGTTTCAGCAGCATGTCACGTCCAAACAGGCTAACCTATATCAGCGCGCCCTGCTGAAGCTGATCTGAGGAGCATGTTGACCGTGAAAGAAGTCTCAGCACTTGGGTACAGTTCGCATTCATTTTAGTGAACTCCCTTGAAAGCTTTCTAAACAGCTTTCAGTAGTTGTATATAACTATACAACTGAAAAACACAATTCACAACCAAATATGCGGCCATGTTAATTTAATGTCTGGTCTAGGGTTGTTTGGTATGAATAGCAACTTAAAAAAGATATAGTGGAGAGTGTTGTTTAGAGCTTGTTATGGTTGCCTTCTCTGGCTCAAATTCATAATTATTGTTAATATTCAATACAGACATGCCTGCACAGTTTAATATTCTCAATACAAGAATATATAACACCAATCATTATTTTTTTAATATATATTATCAGATATATAGAATGTCTATTCTCGCTTTTGATTGAATTTCAATCAGAAATCAGAAATTCAAAAACAATGAAACTCAAAATTAACTACTGCAATATAACATTATTTAAAACAAACAAATAAAGTCTGTTGTTTGCATAAATGTTTAGCCCGTCGTAGCAGAAATTTATGCAGATAAAAAATATAGCAAGAATATTAGCCAATACATTTGAATTATTAAAATAACTACTAGGGATAGGCAATGTATTAAATATTCACAATATCTGATTTAGATGGCAATATAAATTCATGAAATTCTTGAGTCATTTCTTTGTGCTATGGGTGTATTTTAGTTCAGGTATATATTCAATTTGTTTTCCCTCAGTGACTCTTGAATAGATACTCCCGACTTCAGGGCAGTTTTTGTGAGAGACCACAGAACCCTTGTAAATGCATAAAACTGTCAACTAAAACCCACAGTGCGGCATGTTACCGGGCCTGAGATGGGCCAAAAAGGCTGCCTTTGAGGAAATGGCCTTGGGGCAGACAACAAAGCCCCATTTCTAAGACATGGCTGCAGGGGAACGTGCTTTCTCAGAGTCTGCTCGACCCAGCTATTGTGATAGTATTATCCACAGTGCTAGATTAACAACCATTTACAAAGGATTTCAACATTTACTCTTTTTAGGGGCCAAGCACCGAAGGTGCGGAGGCACCTATTGTATCTGTGCCGGTTCTTATTATTATTATTATTATTATTCTTCTTCCGACTGGGCGTCTATGACAGCCCATAGACCGGTTTGCGGGAAAGTTGTTTTGGTTTGACATTCTGATAGAGGACAGTCCCAACTTTAAATACACCAATTTTGGTGTCTCTAACTCATTCCCTCTAGCGCCACCAACTGTCCAAAGTTGCACTTTTATTATGCTAATAACTTTTGAACCGTAAGGCCTATCAACAAAATTGTTTTTTCCTCTTGTTCCTGAGCTCATGCCGATTCGATCGCACCCTATGACGTCATTTTCCGTCATAAAAAAACGGCCGCCATTTTGAATTTTCCAAAAAACCTACTTTTGCGAACTCGTCCTAGACGGTTTGTCCGATTTTCACCAAAATCGCACCGGATCATCTCCAGGCAGTGCTGACAAAAAGTTATGGAATTCAAGATGATTCGAATAACCGTTTTCGATAAACGCGTAAACAAAATTTACGTAGCGCTTGCAAAAACAGACGTGAGGTTGTATCTCCACAACGCTTACTCGTTTTCACACCAAACTTGGTACGTGTCATCACAAGCATGACCTGAGGCTACGTGCTGCGTTTCGGCGCAGCGCCACCTAGTGGTCCGGAGATATGAAAAATGGCTATTTTTGCTCGTAACTTCTGAACGGTTTGTCCAAAAATCATAAATTTGGTCTCGTTAGATTCAGGGCGTCATGCCGAGTCCACCGATATCCAATTTTCCCAGAACGGCCATTTTGGCGGTCGGCCATTTTGAATTATGTGCTAAAATGCTGTATTTTTTGAACGCATGAACGAATTGTTACGAAACTCGGTATGGGTCATCAGTACGATGCCCTGAAGGAGCCTGAGAAGTTTCGAAACAGCGCCACCTAGTGGTGAATTTTTTTTTTCAAACGCTTATAGCTTTGGGTGTGGTACACTTATTTTCACAGGAGTATTCTTTTTGAGATCCTGAATTGTTGCCGAGTCCAATGATACTAAACATGCTGGGTTTCATCTTACGGTTGGTGTAGCGTAGCGATTTAGCGTGAAAAAAACACTTGGCGATATCTTCAAAACCGCTGTTCCGATCGAGACGAAACCACCGTCAGAAACACGGAATCATAGCTTGTTAACTATACGCTAATGCCCAAATGCGAAAATATTGGTAGTAAGGGGTAGTAAAATTCAAACAAAGTCATGTGTCAGTCATTTTTTACGTGTTTTTTCATATAAATGTTTTTAACTCGGAAGTAAATTGAGATATTTGCACCAAAATTGACACACATATGTATGGGGTCACTCTGAGGACACATAAAAAAAATTGTGGGACTGAGCCTCTTGGTTGCGCTATAATAGAACAAAACGTGAAATTCCCATTGACTTCAATACAGTTTTGTGAAATACAATGCTATACTAAACAAATGCTTTGGTCTAACATTACAAAACTCAGTGTGTGCCAAGCAGCATGCCCTGAAGGTACTCAAAAGATTTTGAGACAGCGCCACCTGTTGGTCAAAAGTTATAATTAATTTCTGAGAACGCTAATAACTTTTGAATAAATTTGCCTATTGCAATGAAACTGATCTTAATAGATTCCTTGGGTTATGCCGAAAACATAGATATCAGGTTTTGCATAATCAGCCAAACTTCCTGTCCGCCATCTTTATTTTTTTAAAAACCTTCTTTTTCGAACTCCTCCTAGACCGTTTGTCCGATTTTCACGAAAATTGAATCGTATCATCTCCAGACCGTGCCGACTAAAAGTTATGGATTGCGTGACGATAGACAAAACCGTTTTCGTATACCACAGCATCAAATTTGAGGCATGCTGCCAAAATGACTATTTAGGCTTTATCTCTGCAATGCCTTCACATTTTGACACCAAACTTTGCATGTGTCATTGTCACCTCACTCTGACCACACATCTATTTCGTAACTGCGCCACCTATTGTTCGAAAGTGATAATCCATTAAATCATCTTATAAGTTAATGTTTATGTGATTTTTTTTAGCCATTTGCCAAAAGTTCTCTCAAAATGCCCGTAATTGCTCCTTGCTGCAGTTGGTCTGCCACTCCTAGCCATTTTGGCATATGTTGCCGCTTCTTGCGCTTGGCCCCGGTAATGGCTGCTTGCAGCTATATTTATTATTATTATTATTCTTCTTCCGACTGGGCGTCTATGACAGCCCATAGACCGGTTTGCGGGAAAGTTGTTTTGGTTTGACATTCTGATAGAGGACAGTCCCAACTTTAAATACACCAATTTTGGTGTCTCTAACTCATTCCCTCTAGCGCCACCAACTGTCCAAAGTTGCACTTTTATTATGCTAATAACTTTTGAACTGTAAGGCCTATCAACAAAATTCTTTTTTCTTCTTGTTCCTGAGCTCATGCCGATTCGATCGCACCCTATGACGTCATTTTCCGTCATAAAAAAATGGCCGCCATTTTGAATTTTCCAAAAAACCTACTTTTGCGAACTCGTCCTAGACGGTTTGTCCGATTTTCACCAAAATCGCACCGGATCATCTCCAGGCAGTGCTGACAAAAAGTTATGGAATTCATGATGATTCGAATAACCGTTTTCGATAAGCGCGCAAACTAATTTTACGTAGCGCTTGCGAAAACAGACGCGAGGCTGTATCTCCGCAACGCTTACTCGTTTTCAGACCAAACTTTGTACGTGTCATCACAAGCATGACCTGAGGCTACGTGCTGCGTTTCGGCGCAGCGCCACCTAGTGGTCCGGAGATATGAAAAATGGCTATTTTTGCTCGTAACTTCTGAACGGTTTGTCCAAAAATCATAAACTTCATCTCGTTAGATTCAGGGCATCATGCCGAGTCGACTGATATCCAATTTTCCCAGATCGGCCATTTTGGCTGTCGGCCATTTTGAATTATGTGCTAAAATGCTGTATTTTTTGAACGCATGAACGAATTGTTACGAAACTCGGTATGGGTCATCAGTACGATGCCCTGAAGAAGCCTGAGAAGTTTCGAAACAGCGCCACCTAGTGGTGAATTGTTTTTTTCAAACGCTTATAACTTTGGGTGTGGTACACTTATTTTCACGGGAGTCATCTTTTTGAGTTCCTGAATCGTTGCCGAGTCCAACGATACTAAACATGCTGGGTTTCGTCTTACGGTTGGTGTAGCGTAGCGATTTAGCGCGAAAAAAAACACTTGGCGATATCTTCAAAACCGCTGTTCCGATCGAGACGAAACCACCGCCAGAAACACGGAATCATAGCTTGTTAACTATATGCAAATGCCCAAATGCGAAAATATTGATAGTAAGGGGTAGTAAAATTCAAACAAAGTCATGTGTCAGTCATTTTTTACGTGTTTTTTCATATAAATGTTTATAACTCGGAAGTGAATTGAGATATTTGCACCAAAATTGACACACATATGTATGGGGTCACTCTGAGGACACATAAAAAAAATTGTGGGACTGAGCCTCTTGGTGGCGCTATAATAGAACAAAACGTGAAATTCCCATTGACTTCAATAGAGTTTTGTGAAATAAAATGCTATACTAAACAAATGCATTGGTGTAATATTACAAAACGCAGTGTGTGCCATAAGCAGCATGCCCTGAAGGTACTCAAAAGATTTTGAGACAGCGCCACCTGTTGGTCAAAAGTTATAATTAATTTCTGAGAACGCTAATAACTTTTGAATAAATTTGCCTATTGCAATGAAACTGATCTTAATAGATTCCTTCGGTTATGCCGAAAACATAGATATCAGGTTTTCCATAATCAGACAAACGTCCTGTTCGCCATCTTTATTTCTTTAAAAAACCTTCTTTTTCGAACTCCTCCTAGACCGTTTGTCCGATTTTCACGAAAATTGAATCGTATCATCTCCAGACCGTGCCGACTAAAAGTTATGAATTGCACGATGATAGACAAAACCGTTTTCGTATACCACAGCATCAAATTTTAGGCATGCTGCCAAAATTACTATTTAGGCTTTATCTCTGCAATGCCTTCACATTTTGACACCAAACTTTGCATGTGTCATTGTCACCTCACTCTGACCACATCACATCTATTTCGTAACTGCGCCACCTATTGTTCGAAAGTGATAACCCATTAAATCATCTTATGAGTTAATGTTTATGTGATTTTCTTAGCCATTTGCCCAAAGTTCTCTCAAAATGCCCTTAATTGCTCCTTGCTGCAGTTGGTCTGCCACTCCTTGCCATTTTGGCATATGTTGCCGCTTTTTGCGCTTGGCCCCGGTAATGGCTGCTTGCAGCTATATTTTTTATTAGTCCTGTCTGATAATGACATATACCATTAGTCCTGTCTCATAATGACAGAATACCATTTGATAATGCATATATGTTATATCTTTGATAAATAAAATTTAATTTCACAAAACAGCTCAGCTTTATAAGTTTTGATGGTCTGAAGCTTAAATATAGAGCACAGCCAATAAATTACAGGACTTCTCACTGTAATGAATAGGTATTTATTTATTAACACCAGGGTGTATTATTTTATCTCATGAATGTGATGTAATTTAACTGACATAGTAATACTGTGCCTGTTATGCCTTGTTCTGCAACACCCTGTAATTAACACAGCACTAAATGAGGTTTGTAAATTGCATTAGGCCCTTGTTAATCACTCTAATAATGAATGATGGGACCTCTGCCTCACCTTGCACATTTGCATAATGCCAGATAATATTCCGGAAAATTAATTTGCACTTAAAATGACTGCATGGTTATGTGAAGCACAAATACTAATTTCAATATTCAACGACTTCACAGACAAAATGCAACAACAGATTTGTGATGGTAAAAACTTGGAAATTCGAGTCATTTTACAAACCTCATAATTACTTTTTCCCTCTCTCACCTTCCCAAGCAGGTTAATTCAGTGAAACGCGCCGCTTAGACTGTGTTTGATTGCTAAAATATCACATCAGAAACGTGTCAATTAGCATGCGTGCATGAGATGATATCAGACTGTGTGCAGGTGCTAATAACAGTGAAAGCATTTAGTGCTTTTACACCCTGACTGAATATTTTATTACGTGGCGCATGTTTCACCACTCACTCTATGGACCTCTGTCATTTCAATCTCCCCTCGACGTACTGACTGGCGCAGTGCACCTCTGCCAAGATAGCTATCTCTCACCCGCTGTCAGAGCTGCCTGCCAGTCACAAGCACAATCCAACGCGCCATGCCACTCCAGAATAAAATATGTGACGTTACTCGCTGCTGCTGCTAGGGAACCCGACAAATGCATTGCGACTTCCCACAATTAGACGTGTTGTGTCTCCTCATTGACATTCTAAATCAACTTTTGCAACTAAAAACACCCAGAAATACATTTATTTCATTTAAAATAGCTGCAAAATAAAAAGGCTAGAGAACTTTATTATCGGGTACCCTAAGCAGGACAAAAAGTTCTCCATTTAATTGGTATGTCCAGAGGAGCGTCCTAGACGTGCATTTGGGGAAAGAGAGAGCGAGAGAGAACAGAAGTTGCCCTGAGAGCCGTGTGAGCTGCTTTTCAAACAGCGTTCAGCTATTCCAGCGCATCACTTGGCAGTCACTGGCTCCCCGAATCCCTCTCCAGCAGCCTATGAAAGCAGCTCCTCGCTTTGAAAATTTTCCCTATCATGCAAACTGACAAAGGCATACTTTTCAAAAACCCACAGCCAATCTGTTGATCATTATTTATTTACAACAGCCTGGAGGCGCAGAAGCCTGTAAAAACCATACTTGATATGGTATACTCTGGCTGTTTTTCCCTTTCCTGCTTGTTGAATAAAGTATCCCTAAGGCTCCCTCAAACAATCGCTTTTCATTGGGCATAAAACGCACCTTGTAAAGGCGAGGTATTTAATGTATGTTGTAATATATTGACAAGGAGGGCACAGGTTGAGGGAGTCCACGGGTCTGTCTTTGGTAATTTTGATGTTTTGCTGCAGGGCTTTGGCTTGAAAAAGCTTACACCTAGAACAGAGGACCTGTCATCCAGTACCCAAGAGCCAGCTGAACACACAGGCACCCTAAAGCACAGAAAACTTTGACACCGCTTTGAAGCGTTTCAAAACAGGGTAAATAACTCCCAAGAATTATTATCACTTGTAGATCAAAGAGCCGATGCATACATTACATGGCAAACGGGGACCTTCAAAATCAGCTCAGAAAAACAGTTTTGTGCTGTAAGTTGAGGAATAAAAAAAAAAAAATCCTTCTGAGCGATCGCTGAAAGCTATTTTTCTTTTTTTCATTCCTCTCGCAGTTTATTGTTTAAAAACTGAGAAACAATTGAACATTGATCATTTTCACTTGGAAAGCAGACTAAAGGGCGAGATCCTCTGCAGGGCTGGCAGTTTACAGTATGTACAACTCAACATAATTGCTTCTTTTGGAGAGAGATTCATGTTGGAGACCTCTGTCTGGGTTACTTTTTATACGCTACAGCGAAATGCCTTGTGGGTGGCACACAAATGGAAAAAATAAATAAATAAAATGAAAAAAACAAAAACAAACTATAATTCAATTAAAAGTAAAGCATTACACAAATACAATTAAAACTGCTGTTTTGTGTAAAAGATTCATTTTAAATATTAAATTTTACAACTATTATTAAAGTAAAAATAATCCTGCAACATCATGCTGGCATTACATTATATAACAACTTGGACTGATTTTTCTAAATGTGAAAACAAATAATATCAAGCATGTTGTCTATCCCTTTGCAGAAAGTTGGCCCTTCCTCCAGACCTTCAGCAACACTTTCTCACATTATGATGTGCAACGGAGGGCATTGTCTCTGCATTTTTTACAACCTCTGCATAAACGTCTCCTGGCCACATGGGCGGAAAGCAAGTCCTTTTATCAGTCAAAATCAATTAGCAGCATTATAATTCCAGCGGACAGGATAAAAGGAAGGTAATATTTGAATTCATTTTTGATTGCGATGATACATTTCACATATGGCCTTAAGTACGAAAAACACTCCTCACAGGGGTTCCCACAATAGATGAAGAGCCCCGAGGCTAAGTAACCATGCTGGCGTCTCTGATTGGTTGGCACCGTCATTAGTGCCACCGCTGTTTAAGAACTACATGTGGACGGGACTGGGGGGAGATGACAGCTGAGACTTTAAAGCAAGAGTATTTTTCAAACAGCTTTTCATAGCTGCTTTCATGACAGAAATATTTCAGCTCTATCATTAACCGCTGACAGGCTGACAGCTCAAACGCCTCGGCCTGAAAGGCCTGCTCTCCCCTCCCCCCCTCTCGCTCTCCCTCCACACTTTCTTTTTCCTTCTCCCACCATCCCAGCACCATCCGTCCTGTCTCTGCCTTTCTTTTCTTTTGAAGGGTGGAGGGAGCGTCTTGAAATCAATGTCTTACCTCGTCATTTTGGGCGAGCAGTTGGGTGAATTTCGCATGCCTCCGTTGCGTTGCTTCTTTTTGGGTGACAGTGTTGACGGATGCTCATCATCGACTGCAAACACATGCAAAGAGTGTCAGACGGGTGGACAGCTGGGATTGTAAAGTGTGCTGGAGATGACATACTAAAGAACACAAAAGCCAACACTCAATCAATCATTGCAAAAAACACTCAAATCTAAGAAGACCTCCAAAAATAGAAAGACAAGAGTGTTAGTACGGATAAAAGTACACTTAAAGATAGCAAGTACAGACCTGAAGGACAACCATTAAGTTTTACACCCTGTTTTCCATGAATTCTCATGCGTTCTGCGGATCTGTTTCAATCTGTATCGATGTGATCAAACTCGCTTTTACCTCTGTCATTGTTTGGAGGGCATGAGCTCGAACAATGACAGAGGGGAAGAAAAAAGAAAAAGAAGAGTAATTTGGTGTGTGTTTTTTAATGGATGACTACATGACAAAATCAATCCTCATCACTCAGAGAGCCGTGACTGATGGCTCCGCTGTGAGTCTGTCCCCCGTACCACAAGCACTCTCAGCGCTGAACAAGCACCCTGAACTGAGCCTTCTCATTCTGAAACGCCTCTCCAAGAGGACATTACTGAGGGACCTGTGAATGTCACAAGCTCTCCGCTTTATACACACATCATGTGTGAGCTTTGAAGCTGTCTGAAGGTTGACCTCCTTTCAGAGAGGATACGAATATATTAATCAAAAATGTTGGAAAACTATAGCTTAGCTTAAAGGAATAGCTCACCCTAACCATGAAATATCATCATTTGTTCACCTTCGTTTTCCAAACCTTTTATTCTTCCAGGAGAAATTATGAAAATGTCCATGGTCCTCTTTTTTTCATACGACAATTGCGTCAAATTCTGCCCCACGCATCAAAATGTTTACCATATCTGAATTGAACATGAAGTGAAAATAAACTACAGTTGTGGTCACTTTGTCACTGCATGAAACACAAAAGCATGGACATTTTTCAAAATTTCTCCTTTTATTAAACAGAAAAAGAGACAAAACATTTTTTTGGTGAACTGTTCCTTTAAATAGGGGAGAAATTGTTCAATATGATGCAATAAAAACTAATAAATGTTTTCAGCCCTACCTCAATTTCCATGTATACCACAGTACATAATGCTGTTGTTTTTTTGTTTTTTCATTTTCGAAATTATTTCATATTTCTTATGCTGCACTATACTGTAATGAGTATTTGAGTATGACACCAGGTACTGAATACAACATTTAGAGACAAACTAGTACCAAAACCCAAACACAGTTGCACTGTTAGAAATCCATCAGCAGCACGGCAAAATATTAGAGACAAATACTGCAACCACATATACTTGTATATCTCTGATTTCCCTTCGTCATCTAATTGTTCTAATGAAACAAAAAGATGCTGTCTGTGTCTTCACCAAATGCCAGTGCTTGACATTTGAAATTACACTGTGGAGGGAGCAATGTGAGACGGTAATCAACTTTAAAAATATCACTACTGATAAGACAGCGGTGCAGTGGCCCTTTGTTCTTTACTATGGTTGTTGAGCAAGTGGCCTGGCTGGGCCGGACCGCTCTCTCCTGCCCTTGCTCCTCCAAATTAGGCGGCGGAGATTTACGAGCTACAGTGGTGCCCTTCAGTAAGAGGCTTAACAATGAAATAACTCCACCTGCAACACGGCCATTTCAGCAACTCTCTGCTTGTTCCAAATTACATTACGGCACTTTTACAACCTCAATCAAAATAGGATCAGCCCACCAAAGTGTGATTGCTGTTCCACACCATGGGCCCCTATAGCCCTAGCTTTTTTGTGTCGCCGATCAGAACGATTGAGCTAGACATCTGTCTCCTCTGCTTCAGAAAGACAACTGGCTGAAGCAAGCTTTAACGCACAACAGAGATACAAGAGAAATAAGAAACACTACAGTCCTGTAGACTTTGTTTGTACAACTATGACAACGAGTTTACAATGAGGTCTAAAAGTCTGCGACCACACTGATAATCTATTTTAAAGGGTTAGTTCACCCAAAAATGAAAATTCTGTCAGTATTTACTCACCCTCATGTTGTTCCAAACCTCTATGTGTTTATTTGTTCTGCTATACACAAAGGAAGATATTTGGAAGAATGATGTTTTAATCAAACAAATCTCATTCCCCATTGACTACCATAGTAGGAAAAAAATGCATACTATGGTAGTCAATGGGGAATGAGATCTGTTTGATTGAAACATTCTTCCAAATATCTTCCTTTGTGTTCAGCAGAACAAATAAACACATAGAGGTTTGGAACAACATGAGGGTGAGTAAATACTGACAGAATTTTCATTTTTGGGTGAACTAACCCTTTAAACCTGGAAATAAACCCATACTTTGAAAAAATAAATGAGAAAGTAAATAAAAAAAAAGCAGTGAAAAAACAAAACAACATTTTAATTAGTGGTCTTGTATCCCATGGTATAAAATGGCAAATCTATCTATTCTGGTACTTCTATACTCCCATTGATGGCAGTTGTGGTTACACACATCACACACACCCATACATTTAGTGCTGGGGCAGGGGGTACATTAGCCACTAGCTGCTCTACATGCACACGGCAGTGACTGCAGGGACCCATGCAGGAAGAAAGGGGTTGTTTGCGGGAGCACTGACTAATGCGTCCTAAAGCACAACCTACAGTGCATGGGAACGAGCGTGGAGGACAAGGTGCTGGGGCGGTAGCGGTATTTTCCGGGCAGGCTGCGGGCCCGGTTCAGTCCAGCCAGGCTGAGGCGTGACTGTGAGGGCGGTGCCGGAGGGAGAAGACTTCCTTTGCGGTTATTAACGAGAGGGACAGCAGTCGTGGAGCACCCTACAACCGGCAGCACACTGGGAAGAGTGTTGGGAACAGCCATTCTGTTGGCCAGTTCGATCGAGGGGTTTTGAAAAGTCGCTCTAACTTCCTCCTTTACTGTCAAACAGTGAAAAACAAAACAATGAGAGATGACTGTGATTTTGGTCAGTGACAAACTGTATACTATTAACAGGTTTCACTGAAAATATTTTACAGATCTTAGAATTATATTCTTTCTATTCATGTTATTTTCATATGGAATTGGGGGGGGGGGGGGTTAATGTAATTTCTAATAATGTAAAAATGTCATGTGGTGTAAGCATCAAACAAAATGTAATAACATTAATATACATATATATACGTATATATATATATATACTTTTCAGTATCAATTTTTCAAAGTATCAATTAAATGTTAATGCAAAAATATCATTAAGTTTCTGGGGAATCGAATCACATTCTAAAATTGTCACAAGAAAAGTTGATTATCTAATATTTATCTAATAAAATTATTTATTATTTTAAGAGACTTGTTAACAGACAGTCAGAGGTTCTGCAGGGGTCCCAAAAAATGTATTGAAAACATTTTTTTTACCATCAACTGGCTTGCTTAGTTGTGGACATTTAATATTCAACAATATTATTGATCTGTGTGTGTATTATTTTCATGTTATCACTGTGAAGCTGCTTTGATACAATCTGTATTGTAAAAAGCGCTATATAAATAAAGGTAACTTTACTTGACTTCAATTAAAACCAAGTGCCTTGTTAAATAATAATAACAAAATGAGTTTTATTATAAATAATATTTAAAATTGCTATACAAGCCGTCTAAAAGCACATGCCATTAGTGCTTCTAAACTAAATATATTATGATTAAAACACTGCAGCATTCATAATTGATCACTGAACTGCATGAGAATCACATAAATATTTAAATATGAAAATACAAGTTGACATGATTTTCATTGTTAAGCCATTTATTTCACCCTTTCGATTACCATTTACAGACAGATCCACAAATCTTTGTGCCATAAAGGTAACCGCCGTATTTTTGAATAATTGACGATGACCCCTCAAGTTTTATAAAACACTACTTAACCACTTGCCAAGCGCTTTAGGTGAAATGTTCAATATGACAACTGCTTTTCCATTGCTAATAAACATTAATTAATTAGAAGCACTTTCTTCCCTGCCTGCTCTGCGACAAGACAGAACAAAGCAGGAACATATTATTCCTGATAACCGTCAGAATGAATCAGGTCACAGTGCAGGTAGGGATGTGCTTGCACAAGGGAACACGGCAATCTCTTTACAATCTGACTCAATATATACGGCAAAGCAGTGTTAAAACAACATATCTAAAATGTGTGAAAATCAATACTTCATACAACACACGAAAATGGCTAAGATTAAGCTGCGAAAAGGACCAAAATAACAAACAATCTGCTGTCTGACAGACGGGAGTATGCGGTGTGTATAAGGGACCTGAAGTGTTTCACACAGGGAGTTATCAAGCTCACCGCCTGCCACCCGAGCCATAAGACTCCAGCCTAATGCTATCTACATAAAATGCAAGAGGTTAACCAATATCTGGTGTAAGTGGAAAAGCAGTTTCCGCCCGCTCCCCAAACCTTGCTCAGAGCAATAAATAGATGGTTATTTCTGCCGTCAGCTGCCGCATAGATTTAAAGGCCGCCACAGATAACTCCTGGATTCATCTGGCCCCTGTCAAACACAAGTAGCATTATACAGAGAACATCCGCTGTGGCACTTTCACTGTGGATTTACAGTAATCCAGACGGCAACTGTCCCTTTATGAAATGCAAATCCTGTGACGAGCCACAATTGTGCATTCTTATCAAGGCCATTGTTAAATTATAGAAAGCACATCTGTGAGAAAATCCATTTTGAAACTTTATATCATTTTATGGTGTCTCTATATAAATAAATAAATTCGCTATACACACACACTTGCAATCATTTTAATTCTCCGAATTTCTTTCTTTCTTTTTTTTTTTTGTATAATTTTGCAATTAAAATCATTTTTTGTCCTTCAAATGCAAAAATATAACACAAAACATTTAAACAATAAACACTCACTTCAGCCTATTAACTATGCAAATACGGATGAAACGCTAACATATAACATTAAAAACACATCGAAACGGTTACACATGAAATGAAACTTAATAGCAATAAAGCTAAACCTCTCTCAGCATTAGTTTGGCGTCTGATTTACCCAAAACAAATTTAGCTGCATGTGAACCGAACCCCAGACTGTGATCCCATTTCCCTGGAGTTGTAGCGCCATCTGCTGTTGGTGGCGTCACAACACAGAAACGTATCTAGGACTCCACACATGCGTGCAATACATCATGGCATTTCTAGCTCTTCAATCATCCCTCGCAAGGACACGGAGCTCTTTATGCAACATCTGGATTTCATATGGATGCCTCTATTGAGCACCTGACCTTTCTCATGCACGTGTTTTAAAGTCTAGCAGCCCCTCTGATGCATTTGACCAGAACCCGGTGCTGAGAAACTGTCATCACGGCCCCCCTTCCCATCAATCCCCAGTAATCTACAGAGAGCTGAGGATGGCAGCTTTTGTGCTGTAATGCTAGTGGGGGTAAAATCAAAAGCAAAGAGCCAAAGCAGGCAGGTTGCACGAACGAATGGGGGAATGAGGAAAACAGAGAAGTACACTTACGTGATCTGACATATCCGTTAAACTTATATTTGGCTGAGGGAAACGCAGAGACCAAAGTGTGGATACAAAAAGGAAAAGAGAGAGAATGAGTGTGAGATAGACAGCAGAAAGACAGTACATCACACTTACACGAGGACAGAGAGGAAGAAAAGTCAAGTTAACAGCAGTTAGAAGCAAAAAAAGGATGAAAATAATCATATAAGCAGGTGATGATTAAAGAAACAAAAAACAAAAGAGGTGATTAGTGAAGGGACTGGACTTAAACGAAGCGATGAAAATCAAGCTGCCTGTTCAGCGTTTCCACATCACGGATCCATTTTAAGAGTCAAACGTCGGATTCTCGTCCCAAGACCGATGACGAACATACTGCCCAAATCCGAACAACCTCACGAGGATCATTATGGTATTTGGAATTTGGCTGGGGAAAAGAGAATGCTTTGATAAGTCATCATTTTATCCTCGACACTCAATTTGATGAAAACCAGTGAAACCGATCAAACAGATGTTAGCAATCTTGAGGCTTTACCAAATAGTTAAACAACAAAATTACAGATGTTTCCCATCACATAATTCCTTCCGTAAAAATTAAACGCTGCCAGCTGATCATTTTTGATCAGTAATTACCGTCTTGTCAACTGCAGATGAACGCCTAACTGTGGGCATAGCATTCCTATCCCAAAATACTGTATACCACAAATTTGTGACAAAGCTAACAACCTTTAAGCTATTAAAGTGAATATTCACTGATGTTTCGAATGCATGATTTGCCATTTTCTTTCCGTAATGGTTTGTATTTCTGAGTGACAAAAATAGTAACCAATATTTGTGATATTAATATAATTTCATATTTAATATTAATTTTCTTATAATTAATATATATACTTAAATATTACATATTTAATTGTACCAATATTGCAGTATTTTAATACTATTTTTAAATTAATATTACAATATTTCAATAATAAACAAATATTTGAATAAAATTTACAATTATTTGGCCTACTTAATTAAATATATATTTATTTTTTTTTTTTAAATGAGAGTGTGACTTGATTGGATTCTTAAAAAGTAGCTTTTATGTCATTGGTTATCATTAAGCAATAGCCTGTGAAGCATAAGGATGTTTTCACACTTTGTTCGATTGGTTCAAACTAAAGTTTGTTTATATTTTTGCATCTGAACCATGGTGCGTTTGCATCATCAAACAACAGCTGTTTCTACGTTGCATGGTAACGACGATGCAGGAGAAGGCAGCAAAATATATAGCGTTACTCTCCTAACTTTTATATTTTGGTTTTTGAACCTTTGGTTTTGTTTCCAAAGCGTCAGCACATCATGGCATTTATGTCTATCTGCCGCAAACGCACTGCAAATGTTCTAAAGAACGCAGAAATGTGATATATCTCAGCTTACAATGTGTCGGTCATTGTAAACGCTTTCAGGAAAGTGAGTGAGAACACACACAAACATAAAATTTTTATTTAGTGGTTCACTTCCGCGATTTAGTGTTAATGTCAGCGGCGAAGTGTACTGGAGTTCACATGAACCGCACCCCAGGCCACTCGTTTTATGTGGACTTGGGTGTGGTTTGTGGGTGCGCACCCAGGTTCGGAAAATAGCATTAACATCATTTAAACGAACCGAACTCTGCCATCAATCGAAACCTGCTGTGCACCAAAAGTGCTAGTGTGAAAGCACCCAAAATGAAATAACTCAGAAAAGTCAACACATTTCAGAGGGTGATCAGGCCATTTTGATGAAACATCCTCACCCAAACTATTTTTAACTTTGAAATAAAAAAAAGGGCTAAATCATAAAAAAAAAAAACTAAAAAAAAAAAAAGTGTGTAAAAAAAAGTGCGTCAATTTTGATTTCATGTTGACTTTAAGCTATGTTGCATATGAAACTTGGAGATAATCTTGCAGACAATCATAACAAGGGATGTGTTCAGAGGCATGTAGGATGTTCTATACTGCAGCCCCCATCGTTGCAAAGTCTCATCTTTCGTTACAAGTACTGTATCTGATGCCATAAAGGTCACAGCGCAGGCCCAGGGCGGGGCGGTGACACAAGCGCTCAAGCAGGGCGCCCGCGCCGGTCCTGGCATATGTCGCTTGCAATCTGCGGGCGCAGGAAGAGTCGGCCGACTCTTTGGCTAGCATCTGTCCTACACGGCGGAGGGGATGACCGGCCCTGCTCCTGCCTGGTGGTAAGGAACTGTCAGGTTGAGTTTAATGACACACCAGCTGAGCTGGGGAAATGAAAATGCAAACATAATTTTCATGTCAGGCTGCATAAGTGCCGACGGTGCTGAGTTCCACCCTGCAAGGAGCGGACAAGATCCACTCTCTGGGCTGCGCCGTGCTGCCCCACCCTGCCACGCTCAGCACATCCTCGGCAAACTCCATAACCGACCAGAGCAGGCAGGAGAAGAGGGAAAAAGGAGAGAAATAAATGCTACGAAGCGACCCCTCTCCCTTCCCTCTCAGTATGCCAGGCGATTGTTGTTTACAAAACAGGCGTGTCTAAGATTGCCCTGCTGGAAACTTCCTTGTGAAGGCTCATAAGTTCAAAACAGGAATTAATAGCCTTTGCAATGTTGAGCACCTTGAGAGTCTTTAAAGCTCGTGTAATGAGGGGATAAGTCTCGGCAGGTGGAGCGGAGGGACTGTTATTGTCATTGTAACTTAGAGCGGAGGCCGCTAACTCACTCGTACAGTATATTTGCTCCCTAAAGCCTGCACTTGCAGAGATAACAAACTCTTCTTAATAGTGTGCATTGCACTACAGCTATAATGAGTGTTCCATTGCTCCCTACTCCTTGTCAAAGACTCTCTGGGCATTGACTGCAGCCAAGAATGACAGTGTCGGCTTTTCACAAATACTAATAATTATTTGTCTGGCTTTGGAAGAAAGGAGCGTTGCCATCCTGAGTGATGCATGCAAAGAATCGGAACAAAAAGTACACAAGGGCTGTTTGAGAAAGCGCCCACCAGGGAACATCACTTCTGTAAAACAGAGTGCATTTACTGTCACGTGTTTCATGCATTCATCAAAATTACTGCATCCAGGGGAGTAGTATTTATTTCAGTAATAACTGAGCTACTATAATGTGCAGGTATAAAACCACCATATCATGCTTAGAGCAGGGATGTGGTGATATTTATGCTTTCTGAACACAAGTGGTGAGTGCCAGTAGTTATGTTTCCATTCAAGTTGTGAATGTAATTTATGAAAGAAATGTAGAAAAACAAAAATAATAATAAGGTAGCACCTCTGCCCCACATGCTTAAAATAACAAAATCATAATCTTTAGGAAAACTGGTGCAAAACAGAAATGCAAATGGAAGTTGTCACAGAGAAAGCCGCTGTGGCTTGCATTGTGGAACGTGCGATCAAAACAAATGCAAAAAAAGATAAATAAATAGAAAGAAATATATATATATATGTATATAAAGATATTTTCAGAACAAATAAAGATATTTCACCAGAAATCATTAGTGATTGAGCACAATCAAAGTCAGATGGAGGAACTCTGTGAATTCCTCATCATAGAGATGTAATGCTAGATCGGAGGCAGAGCCGATGGGAGAGTCAAACAAAGCCGCAGCTGGCATTAGCTGTCAGCCTTGTCGAAAACGCACTCAATTCAGAAAGAAAACGGCAGCGATGAAACCATTGAAGGATGATGCTACATGAAGAGATCATAACTATGTAATGACCAGTAACTGGTATCCAGGGATATCACCACAGACCAAAACACAAGACACAAAGTCAACCTCATCATGGGGCTTGATGCTAATCTAAGCTGATGTGGCGAACAGTCGGAAGGCAGTTGTAGAGGAAATGCGATCGCCTGAACTGACCCCTGCTTTTATAGTAGGTCGCACCGCTGCCATTCCTAATTGACAGACGCTTTAGTATTTCACATCTGCTAAGGCTTAATGAGAAGACCCCTGTTCAGCGCTGTCCTTTACACAACTAACTGCGTCAGTCATCTGACCTCATCCGATCGCCTGAGTCACCGCCATCTCAATTGAGTTCCTGTCAGGAGATCTCTTTTTAACTTTCCCATTGAGCCTGACAGTCCCACTGTGGTATACAAGGCATTAAATAAAGCACATTGACTTTTTCTCCCCTGATTGCTGGCTAAGAGAAAATCATCGAGGAGGATCAGATCCTGTGGAAAGGGGGAGAGTTTTTTCAAGTGTTTTTTTTTTTTCAATTGCACCTAAATGTGGACTTTACTAAAGGAAGAGCTTTTATTTCAGCCAGTGGAAATGGTGGAGGCATTAATGGCTTGCGGTTGTAAAACATGATTGTCCAAGAACAGCAGAAAAGACATTGCCAGTTTATACTTACTCTTTATGAACAGAAGAATCTCACTTAAGATCTCTTTCAATCACAATCTAGAGTTTGGCATGTGAATCAAAGATGATTTTTAATAAATAACAGACGTAGTTCTGACTGTTTTTCATTTACTGATATCCTTCCAATTTTGCTCAATTACAAATATAATCAAAAGGGATCTTGACCAGTGAGATGGACATTTGAGTTACATTTGCTTGTTTCTAATGCTTTAAATAGGAAAAGACGGCACGTAACAATTGAACACATTCAAAATTCAAAGAGCAAAATATTGTGGATACCCAGTGTTTGAACCTGTGGAGAAAAAACAGTTAGTCATTTGTTTCCCAACCTGAAGAAGGGTCTTCAAAAATCACATGAACATATCATCAAAACATCATCATCAGTGTCAATGTACACAATTAGCCCATGGATTTGATTAAAAGCACATCATACAGTTCATACATGTACACCTGCCATGTAAAAGTGTAAACACCAAAACAGTGACTGCAAAATGTCACCAGCACCGCACAAGTGCTCCACTAACACAGCATGCGCCAACACAGTCCTACTGCACCTACTGCAGCACTAACACAGAGAAGCCACATCACTTCAACTACCACCAATTCACCAAACGAAAAAGAATATGTACTAGTGTACCATCCAATAAGCCACAGGTACGGAAATAATGGAGGAACGAAACAGACAGCATATGAAACACGGCACAGACACGCACACTCACACGCTCACAGGTCACGGACATCGAACGGCATGTGGTTTGTCGATCGAACTTACAGGCACGTAAACTGGTTGAGCAATCATGAACAGAGACAGAAGAAAGTGGGAAGGCCCTCTGAAGACTGTCCATGTTACTATGTACACTGCCTGTCATGCACGAGCAGTCGCGCTCAGAGCGCCCGCAATCAAAACAACATGCCAGTTTCATTCGCTTGTAGACGGACATCTTGGCTACAGTCATGTGTTGGATGAGAGGAGAGGAAAGCAGCAGGTTAATGGCAAGGATCAAAAGAGTTTTTCAACCAGGGAAGTCTGAAGGTAACTTTTTCAAACATGGAACAAAAAGTGCAATGCCTTAGCAGCAAGCTCTGACAGGTTTGCCCCGCAAATGGACCACTGCCCTCCTGCTTGGAGCGCGCTTCGGATAAGCATCCGATTACACGTTACAAGTTCGATCCAAATTTGGAGGTTAACACCAAATTGAACTTTGAAAACATCTAACAGAGGGCTTGTTTAGGAAGCAGGAAGCAGTCGTCTCACTGGGGTCAAGCCGTGCCCTAAGGCTGATCATGTCATACAAGGTTAAAAGGTCAGATATGACAATATGATCAGAGGTTGGGGCAAGGAACATTCAGGCAGAGAGAAATGGGTGAATGTGTTCAGCAGCAAAACCTCTTTGGATAACATCCTCTGTATCTAAAGGAGAGGATCACGTACCTGTATCCCATCATGCAGCAGCAGGTTATTGGCATCGCAATAGCTCTATTCTGTTTGACAAACTCTGCTCATCACTGGACTTAATTAGGGATTGTTTGGGAGATTTATATGGTAAACATGCCGAGAGGCTACTTCTTCATTCCCTGATTAGAAGATGCATTCACATGCATTGCGCATTTTATTCAAACATATATTACGTGGACTGTATGCGTGTATTTTTTGGTTCTCAAAGGAGCTGTGGTGAGAGACTATAGCAGCATGATTGCTGTGAATCGGACTAAAAACAGTCCCTGGTCCACGTTCTCCCGGTGCCACCTCGCTAACGGACCGTAATCAAGTCTGGCACCCTCAAAGAGCAAACAATCCACAGGGAAAAGCCTGCTTTTGACTTCCATCTGAGGTTATGAGCCTGAATTAAGAGGCCAATTTCAGTTGTATGCTGGAGAGATAATACGGTAAATGACTTGGCCTTTAAAGCCATAACCTCAGGGACTGTTATTCTAATAGAACCATGCAGAATGGCTGAAATTAAGGAGAACAGGCATGCAGTGGGAGGCGACCGCGGTCGTATCTCTTGAAACGGCAGCCCGCTCGACTGTTTACGGGGCTGAAACAGATTAAGGCAATGTGGAAACATGCAGCAGCGGGGTTTCTACTTCATTTCATGCTGAAATCTATCGCTTCAGAGTTTGAGGGTTGACATTCATCGGAGCACATAGTATGTGGTTATGTTAGTCAGTGAGACATGGAGGGCGGAAGAGACACAAGACAACATGATGATGTGAGTGACTGAACACGACTACACAGAGAGCCTAATTACTGAAGCCTCTTTAACAGAGCAACCCGATTTAGCAAGAATGCTCTCAGCACCCCTATCGTCTTTCCTCGCCCCACAACGTCCTATAATTCAAAGCAGGCTACGTCATGTGTTAAAATACTAATGGAGAGGAATACATCTGAAGGATTTACAATATGGTCATTAGCCAACTTTGAGCTTATACTTAGTAAAAACACTTAAATCAAGAGTTATGTTAGATACAGTGAAGCCTTGCGTTCTTAAAATACTTAAAACAAACACACCTCTAGCCATACCGATATAAAGCGAACAACACCCTGCCTCCTTGGGAAGACATAAAGAAACCTAGGTGACACGTGAAAAGACCCCACAGTGCACATTGGCTGTTAGCAATCTTGCTAAATAGGTTCATGAGGACCTCAGTGTTCCCATTTTGTTCCGTTCTCATATGTAGAACTACAGTGGCATCTAGTGGTCGGTATTGTGTACAGCAGTTAGATCAACACCTCCGTGAGCCTAATGTTGAGAGATGCCAGTGAGTGAAAGAAAATCCCAACTACTGAAAAGAATTGAAATTCAGAATATTTCAATTCTACCGATGGTTCTTGTGTCGTGTAGAGAAGCTGGGCAGGGGCCGGATGGTGGAGACAAAGGGGAGGCTGTAGGCAAGAGGGAGACCAGATTGTTTTGATTGTGTTTTGGAGACGATGCTCGTTAAGTCTAAGAATTTGAAGAACTTCCCACAGAACTCTTTCTGCTCTCTGAAAATACAGCAGCATGCGAAATCGTCTTTGACAGCGAGGGGACGGATTCAAGTGGACTCAACCACCCCCCTTGGCACTGGTGAGGTCCATGACTAATAGTGGCAAAATCAATCAGCTTGTTTGACTTTTTAGATTGTCATGACAGGTTACGTCGAGTTTTCGGGAGAATCAAACAACCTCTGAAATGAATCACCGATTTCAGAATGGTACTGAGAGTAAATCTAGGGGAGGAATGGTTATTTGTCAAGAACTTATTTAGATATCTTATTAGAGACTGCTTTGTAGGGACTTAGGACAGGGTCATTTCCAGGCCAGTAAATTCTGTTTTGGGCTGAGGACAGTGGAGAGATGAGAGGTGTAGGAGGGATGCAGCAGCTAGACTGATACATGCAACATATATAGATATATATATAAAACTATTATCAGAGTGAGACAGTCAGACTGTACTCTGGGCCACAGGAAACCCATTTTTACTCACAATATGTCACTATCAGTGAGAGGTTTTAAAAAAAAGAGGCGGTATTCCAAGGCAGCAAGGAAGGAAATACATCAAAAAGTATGTCAATGATCATAAAGAGGGTGAAATAAAAGAACACAAACTTCCATTACAGCAATGGAAACCTCATCTCCCTTACTGTGAGGCTATTGGCCTCTTCTCAGGTGAAATTTCGTTTTGGGAGAGCGCATATCATCAAAAACATGATTGGGATGACAACAAAAGAGAATAAAGTAATAAAATTTCGCTATTGTTGCAAGGTTTGGGGTCACTAATTTATATAATAATACTTTTATTTAGCAAAGAAGCATAAATGTTATAAAAAAAAAAGTTATTTTAAATTGTAACAATATTACTGTTTGTACCATAGCCTTGTTGAGCATAAGAGACTTTAAAAAAAACAATCGGTAGTGCATGTGTAAACAAACAAACTGTTTGAAAGAAAAAAAAATATTCATCCAAAACATCTCATATAGTTTTAAATAATTATATTAATGTAAACAAACAATAAATAAACAAGGATCTGCAGTTAAAGGCAGCCGTTTTAAAGTGCACAGTGAAAGGTCACTGGGAATGAAGCTGAATTATTCATCTAGTGGCTAACTGGTTTGGACAAATGCTTATATAGGTCATGTAATAACAATACATAATTTCAATATTAATGTTAATGTATGCTCTACGTAACATTACTATTGCTTCCTTCTACCAAGCCAACATTAGCAAATGGCAACAAACATGTTTAGGTGCTGCCACACCCATCTATATTTAAGAGGGTGTTTAAGGAAATGCAGTTCTATCAAAAGATGTGAACGTCTGCAGGAGCTGCTCTGACAGTGGACTACACTCTGAGCTATTAATCTCTCTTCTACTTCAGTGACTTCCTGTCAGAAAGTGTTTTTGCCAGGCTGAGGCAGTGGGACATGACAGTCCAAACGGAAGTTGCGTTGGCCGTTCTGCATAAACTGGGTGGATATGATTGGTAAAACGATCTTGGGCCAAGAGTGTGTTTTCGGTGTCTGGCGAGGGTGGGCCAAGCTGCTCTTGCCTTTTGTTTTTCCACCTGACTGGTGTCATTACCTCCGCCTCTCTCCCACTAATGCCACCGTGAGCTGACAGCCTCTCTCTTCAGCCCTGCTAATCATGCCATTCCCTCTCTACATCTGTATCTCTCTTCACCATTAGCATGCTGATGACTGGACTCTCTCTCTTTCAACTTGTCATCTTTCTCGCTCTTTTTCTAGTTCTCTAATTTGAAGGTAGTCTGTTTTTGACAAAGTCACTAGTTTCTACAGTTCATCACTCTAATATTTTTAGTATTTTTCTTTTTAGTGGTTGCAAGGCAGCAATGTGTTTTGTATGTAGTTGTAGTCTTAAATGTGACACGCATCTTTTCACACTTAAGAAATATGTGAATTTTGCAAATATTCAATCATTCAAAGATTTTTTTAATGTTTTGAAAGAAGTCTCTTATGCTCAACAAGGCTTCTCTACTAAAATGACTGTAAATGCAGAATTATTATGAAATATTTTATTACAGTTTTAATATATTTTAAAATGCTATTTATTCCTGTGATGCAAAGCTGAAATTTCAGCCATTACTCCAGTCAATACCTCACATACTTCAGAAATCATTCTAATATGCTGATTCATTTCTCCACAAAATAATTTGTTCTAATTATTATCAACTCCGAAAATATTTTTTGAGAAAAATACTGAAGCGCACATCTGATTTAAACTTTACTATCCTAAATAGGACAAAGGTAGCCATCAAATTCAAAACGTTGAAAAAGGGCAGAGGGCTTAATGGCTGTTTTCAAATGTAAGCACTATAGTTACAAAATTTAAATTATAATAATTTTAAGGTTTTTTTTTTTCTTCTTAAGATTTCGCTTTTGTGAATTGAATAGTATGTGAGCGGAAGAGCAGAACCAAAACCTAAAATCTGAACTTTTTGAATACTATTCTTTTGCTGCCTTGCAAGTGTTTATTATTATTATCATCATTTTAAGTGTTTATGAGAATGTTATCAATTAAATTATAGGCTCATGTCAATGACAGCTTTCAAATTTTAACTTTCAAAAGAAAAAACTAAAATACACACAAAAAACCCCAACAATTTCTGACATTTTACACAACGTAGCAGTGTCCTACAAAGTGAAAACGAGTTGGTGGACACTTTCCCCTCAGACTGGACACGACAGAAGGGAGGGATGGTCAGGTGTACTTACTTCTCTTGCAGCCACACTTTTTGATCCTTTTGGGATCTGTGATGTCATCATGACATGCTTTGCAGTAGAAAAATGCTCTAAAGAGAGACAGTAAAAAATTTAACATTTTGCTTCCAAGGGTTTCCTTCAAAAATCAAACATAAGAGCGCGCATAATTCTGATGGATTGGGGACATATTTACCTTTTCACCTCTTTGGCGTCACTGGCGATAAAGAATCCCAATGTCCCCTCTTGCATCTTAACGTGATTTCCGGGGTTGATGAGAATACTGTTCAGTCAGAAAGAGGGTCATTCTCATTAACATGAAGAAAATCAATCTTGCACATTCAAACACTCTAATCAAGAGGAATGGTACACATGTATTTGGACCTCGTTGAGAAACTGATGAGAAATATACTGCCTTAAATTTTGGTACTGGAATTGAACTTTAGACAAAAAAGCTGCAGGGAACAGGACCTATTCAAGAAATACTGCTTAGGCCACTTGGCGTCACACATATACAGTACAGCACACAACAGCATGATTTTAATTCTTTTCTCAAGATGGTCTTAGATTTAATTTTCTGGGGGATGAGATAAAAGAAAGAATTAAAATTGGGGTGGTAACAATATAGGTGTTTTGGTTGATGGTCCTTCAGAAACACATAGTGTGAGGTCTATCGTCACACAGCAGGCAGTTGAAATCCTGCTTTACTTTAGTGGAAAGCAAGAGAATGACCAGCCCACCAAGAGTTCAGGATGCATCCTGGGTCTCTGAATCTGCGGTAACAGCACAACTAAGCCAATGCATGCCATGCTGTTTTCAAACAGGACAGGCTAATTCTGATAATAGTGTATGTTAAAGACATTCTGATATCATATCATTTGAAGCTTCAGCTCATGGTATTAGTTTTACTGTTGTTGTTGTGTGGCCAAATCATTTAAAAAAAAGCACTGAGGCAGAGGCTGCACTACCAATAATCATTATCTGTCACTCAATTTTTCCATCATGTTTAACTTTACTGAGTGTTATATATAGCAGGCATTCTGTATGGAATATCATCTTGCTATAGCATTTATAATAATTATTAAAATTGCAGTTTGGTTTAACTGGGAATAGTTAACCTTCAGTAAACCATGTAACACATATAGGCCTGGTGTCACAGGAAGGGCTTAGATTAAACCTGACTTTTATAAATGTGCCTTAGAAGAAAAAAAAAACATTACTGGTGTGCTTCTTGAGACAAAACAATGGGACTGACATATTTTAAGATATGTCAGTGCAAGTTGCTTTCATTTAAGATTGCCAAAAGTGCATTTTAGTCTAGGACTAAGCTCAAGCCTAGTCTGTGAAACCGGAGGATATTTTATTCATGCTTCAAGAGAGATAATTTAGACTACCATTGAAAAGTATGTGGTCCAATTTAAAAAAAAAAAATTTTGTTGTGTTTTATAAAAAAGAAAGTAAAACAGTAATACTGTGAAATATCATTGCAATTTAAAATAACTATTTTCTATTTTAAATTTATGTTAATTAATTATTTTAAATAAAATGTATTCCTGTTATGTTTTAACTGCAGCCATTACTCTCTCTCTCGTGATTCTACAGAAATTATTATAATATGATATAAACAGATATAGAAACTGAATTAAAAAAAAAATTTGATACATTATTTATACAATCATTAATTTCTTTAAAAATATAAATTTTCCCATTAACGTTCGAATGGTTAAAAAAATAATCAATTCAAAACATGTCAAGATGGCAACCACTAAAATGAGAAGTCATCCTGTGGTTTTAAATTGTTCTTTTTATTATCAAAATGACAAAGCATTCTGGATCAAATTAAGTGAATAACAGGATTTGTTTGGTTAAGGCAACCTCTGCCTCTAGGTTTGCGATTGTACAGCGGTTGTACAATCCCAGGCTATTGTGAAAAATTACTAGTCACTGCCAAACCTAAGCTTGGTGGGCGAGGAAATTTAGCTGTTTATGAATCCAGTGTCAGCTTCTGCCAGATATTTGGGAGAGTCTGGTTTGTGACTGTAGAAGTTCAACAGTGTAGACAGAGCCACTACTGAACCACTGTATCATTCCCCATTAATTAGACAAAGACAGGATGACACAACACAGCCATCAATGGTTGCCAGTTGTTAGGAATCATCAATGAATTAAGTGGTGGCTGCAACACGTGACAACTGCCCAGCCTGACTAGAGAGTCAAGCCCAGAGAGCCCAGACGAAAGGGAAAGGCATGTGACAGGCATCCCATTATTCCATAGATTAAAAAAAAAGGTGGCCAGCATCACTGGCTCTCCAAAATCCATATACTTATTTACCATTTGATGCATGTAGTCTATCAAAATCCTTTCCTCTGGGCTCGTCAAATAACCAGTTCATTGCAAATGAAGGCAGAAAGAGGGGGATTTAATCCATTATAAAGCAAATGTTGGCTGGTCAGTTAATGAAAATGTCAAAAGCTCACTGTATGGCTTGAAATTATTGTGCAGGGGTTATTTATCACTGAGCTTTACATCTGATTAAATAGCCCCCTTAGCGAGAAGCAGCACATTTGACATGCTGTTCAGAAGATGAATACAAATGACATATTTGCACCCCAAATTTGAGATTTTCACAACATTTGACACTAAATCAGACAGAAGCCTTATGCAATGGGTCGATCACAGACTGATTGCATGGAAATGGAGGCTTCCGCTCATATCAAACCTCATATTATGGGAACAAAGCAAGCATTACACATCACGTGACAGAGTACGGGCATGCGGTTACCAAGGCATCACAACCAAGCACATCCAAAAGAGAGCAGGTGCAGCCACCGCACAGCGACACGTAGATGCAAACTGTTGCAGTAACTTCTGTGCAGTTGGATTGTTGTATAGAACACCAAACTGACAGGAAGTGACCTCACTTCATAAACATCTACTCAGAGACGCACAGGCATCTGGGGACATGATGAAAGTCAGTTCCAGACAGACTTTGACAAACAGACCGACAATTTAGTCACACACACTCGACAGAATAGACATATCATACGCACGTACAGTACATATACAAATCACACTCACTCCGACACACAAATACACACAAACACAATACAGTGTTAGAGTGGTAATGACAGAAAAGGCAAATATGGTGCCATGAATAGTGTGGCCTTTAATAACCAGTCAGCGTTTGGCGTTTAAAACTGCGTGAAGTAAAACTTGCAATTTTGAGAGACATCAGTTCTTAATGAAAGAACACTGGTATTTTCTGATATGTAATGCACTGAGTACAGTTGTTTTCCGATTAGGGCAATTTTCTCTGTGCATTACGAAATAAGTGAGAAAAACATGAAGTACTGTTGGCATGGAGAGCACAACGCTGAAAAAGACACGGACAGAAATGATTTGCAGCGGATGAAAACTGAAAAGTAATCAAACAGGGAAAAGAGGAATGGAAAGGAGAGGAAGTCTAGAACAAAAACCAATGATGCAACGGACATGGAGTGGATAAACGTTGTGTTGATATGAACAGCACAGACAAAGAAACAAGTGAATCGAACAATAGCAACTACTCTCTCTGCCTGCAAAGAAGTTAGTGCATTAAGCACAAAGAGAATCACAATATAAGAGATAGCGAGAGATTTTGGCCATTTTTGAGAGGGAGGTGGTACAATATCCTTAAGATTTTCTCCCACAGTTGATCTAAAGTGTAGAGGGGTGAGATAATGAAGAGGGCATACCGCTTTCTGCTTCTGCAAACAACAAGAAAACATTATAAATCAAACATAGACTGTGAAAAAAAGGAGGCGAGGTGTCAGTAAACTGTATCTGCACAGTAAGAGCAGGAGTCTAAAGTAGAGGGCAAAACAGTAACTTTCACCATAAAAAGCAAACACTTTGCACTGGTTAACAAAAGTGCTCTTCTAAGTTTAGACCAGCCTAGAACATCAAATTGAGAGTTACGCTAAAAGGATAATGCTGTGCCCTCTAAAGGTTTTGTCATTATGTGTGGTATGGCAAAGTTATGAACCAAAGTTTAAAAGCCATCCATTAGAAAGTCATTTGAAACTAATTTGAACTGCATCATACAGAGTGACAAATGATTTATTTATTTTTTGTTTGTAGGCAAGGATAATACTGGACATGAGTGGCACTTTTATGTGATATCAGGGAAAAATAGGGTTCTGTTTAAGATTTTCAGTAGGCGAACTAAACGACAGATAAAAAAAAACTGTACTGGTGGGCGGTATGAGCAAACGCTTGTATCACAGTGTGAGTCGTTTTATTAGATGGTAACAGTATATTACAATATTGTTTTTTCTGCTGGCAAATCAAAGGAAAAATATCTGTTTATATGTCTATACCTACTTTGGGATAATCCAGAGAATTACTTTACAAAAGAAATACAATTCATCTATTTTGATTATTTTGTCTTTTTTAACTTTAAACTGATTGGAAAAACTTAAATATCAACTTATTCATAAAAATGTAACAAGAATGACATCAATGTAAAAACATATTACCTGAGTGTAACATAATAGAAATGATAAAACTAATATAAAATGAATAGTTACGATTATAAAATCAGATTGGATTAGCCGCTTTTAAAGCTGTTATAAAACAGATGGACAATATTCAGTCACATACCTGTGACCACACATCAGTTGAGCTCCAAAATAAAAGCATCATGAAACGTTGCAACTGTGTAAACTGAGTTTTACTAACAAATACCATTTAATAAAAACTTTCATTACAAAAATGTTAATTTCTTCCATACACATCCTATACTTATCCTATACCAAGGAATCCTCCATGTTAATGTAAATAATGTGAAGTCTAGCCTAGACAATACAGTATATCCATCTACAGTGGAATAAATGAAAAAGCAAACTGTTTACAGACACATTTCTAGTGTCCCACAATATATAATCATACTGCCCATATACCACCAAATAAAAAAATACTTAATGTGAGCTGCATATCATGAGTTATTAGAGAACAAACAGTACCAGATCTTCTTCTTAATGTTTGGGCTGTGTGTGTGTGTGTGTGTGTTTTCAGGCAATCTTGCATTCTAAACCACACTCATTAGTACTTACTGTGTACATAAAATGTATTAGTAAGAGTTACAGTGTACAGAAACATTGGAACACAGGTTGTGGATGTAGGAAGGGGTGGAGGGATTTGGCAAAGTCAAAGTTACTGAGACAGAGTACTTCATGTTATTAGCTCCAATGGGTCACTTAACAGAATGCCACAGAAGTGCTATTGATAGAAGGCTCTTTACTCGGAGAGTAAACCCTCATCAATACAGCACAGTGAGTCTGAGCAGATGTCATGGCTCTTTGGCTTCACAGTGACTCTTACAGACAGTGATCGGCAACTGTGATGCTGTGAGAGTCAAGCTGAGGCGAACTTCCTCCAGTGACAGAACGTAACATGCTGCTGTCTCAATGAGAGCGATTTCTTTGCAAATTTGAAACCAGATTAGATCAGAGAGATTTGCAGAGAGATTAAATGATGAAAACCTGGCAGCCTTTTCTTGCAACGCAATTTCTAGCAAGTTAAATAAGAGAACTGTACTGTAGGACCAATGAGGGACACAACTGCTTTGCCCCTCTTTGGTCCGTATATTGTGCCTGGTGGAGTTGAAGACCAAAAGGGGACAAACCTGCTTTCCCTTTGCTCTGACTTGTACTCAATAGCAATCAACAGCAACTTGAGCTTGACATAGCACAGCCTGAAAAAGAGAACAGACATTTAGTGTCCAGAAGCAGCTATTTAAATCATAAGTTTCATTAAATTAGAAACAATTTCAAGTTCATCTATTGCAATCACAACAGTCTATCACCATAAAATCCCATTGGTTCAAAATCCTGGCCCACATACTGTAACAGTACATTAAATATAGTAATTGTGTCAAGCAGCGGTTTCAAAATCAGTTTGGATAGTTCAGCTTTGCAGTCAATTTGGCATTATATTAAAAAAGCAAGAATATATGAGAGCCTTTATGATACTTACTAGTATGTGTTTGTCAAAACTTGCTTTAGAGCAGAGGCATACTTACTCACAAATTGTAGGAAATGAAAGCCCCACAAAGGCACTGGACAGGTATTCGGTGTACATTTCATTAGCAACTCCCTCTAGATAATACTTCTGCCAGGTGTCCTCCTCTATCTACAAAACAGTTGGATTCAGATACCAACAGTCAGGAAAGACACCATATTTAATTTGATGTGAATGGATTAATCAGTCATTACAACATAAAATACATGACTTTCTAAAAAAAATAATAATAATAAAAATTAAAAAAAATCAGTGCACAAAAAGCCCAAAACCCAAAATGTTTGATTCTGACATCATTTACTTTACATGTTGCTCCAAACTCATAAAACATTTAGTCATTTCTGTCCCTTCATTGAAAGTCGATTCACCCAAAAAGTAATCCATATGAATTGAGAAATTTTAATCAAAGTTTTTTAAAAAGACGCAATTGCTTTATCCACCTTATTTTGCTATGTGGAAGTAAGCTCTTTTCTTTAAATGTGTGAAACTTCTGAATCATTAGCCACAATAAATAAAATAACTAGTAATAAGTATAACAAAGTGCACTAAATGGTAAAACTGTCTGCACTGCAAACCAGTGTGTTTTCGATTATGACGATGCATCTAAAATAATATGATAGCAATGTTTTTGACCAATTAAAATAACTGGAAGTGAACGACTGGAAGCCAGACACATTAAAGTTGCAAATGGCCATGCCCGTTCTTTCAGTAAAAATAAGATGGATACAATGAACAGATTTAATTTAGGCTTTTATTAATATAGATATGTTGATCAATTAACATATATAGAGCTCATCACATTGTTGCTTGACACACAACAACCAATGAAGTTTGTTCTTGAGTGTCAAGCAAGTACGGATGAGCTTTTGTTTATCATTGAGGTGCTCTATGTATGTGAGTTTACCAATGTTTATCAATGTGCCTAAATTAAATGTTCATCTTATAAAGCAATTGTCTCTCTTCTCGATTCATATGGATTCGTTTTACCATCTTAATGAACTTTTTAAAGAGTGAAAGTTGGTAACATGGATTTTCAATAGAGGTACAGAAAACTCAGGTTTCATTAAAAAAGTATCTACATTTGTGTTTCAAAAGATCAACAAAAGCCTTATGAGCTTGGAACAACATGCAATGTGAGCAATAACAGCTGTTTCAGTTTTGGGTGAACTACTATTTTACAAATGTATCATACCCAACAATTTTCAGAGGACAAAAAGCTGTTGGTTGTGAATATTACATATTACAGATCATATAGTGTTTAATTAAGTCACTAAAAGCCGTGTTGAATGAATGAATGAATAATTTTATTTCCTTTCATTTCCTTTTCCTCTTCAGAACATGATCATTAGCAACAAAACATATTTTAACTAAAAAATAATAAAAACAAAATCTCAGCATGTTCAAAAGAGAAGAAAAAGAATATAGAAAGAAAAAAGGAGAAGGAAGAAGCTAACTTATATTTGCCTTCCCCTTTTACAGATCTAGCTTTGAAACGACTACTGTTTTCTCTTTACAAAATATGCAATATATTTTGTGTTTTCTTCCATGCGCATCAAATTAAATACGGCATCAACTCTGACTAAGTTGGTTAACCACAAAGAAGCATTGTGTATAGTCTAATACCAGAAAACAGCATACGAAAGTTTCTCTCTTTCTCAATATCATCCTTTCACTACTTGTTTAACATTTCAATCTTTTTCAGACTTGAGAGTGAGAATAAAGGCAAGGCATATTTGCATGTCTGAACTCCCAGCTAGTCTCTTCATCATCCTCTCATTACATGCGTCTCGGGATGTGGGGCGGGTGGGGCTGTGATAAGCAGCGGGGCTATTAGGCAAACACTCTGCCATTAGTCAGCCACCTTGCCAAGCCAACGTCTATCTGACAGACAGTCAAGAGAGATGCTTTCAAAGCCAGGCCCAACTCTTTTTCCCTCTGCCAGGCTAAGAGCACTCGCATTCCGGAGCAGGCATCTTTTAGGGCGGCATTAATGGGTAGACTTTTGTCATTTAGTCCTAAAGAAATGGCAGCCATTTACCATAGGCTCCCTGCCTGTCAGAACTGAACTGTAAGTAAGTGTTACGGGCGTGTTCTCTCGCACCGACTGAACAATTATTTCCTTTAGTCCCTCCAGAGAGCCTGGTCCAAATCCCCTCTGCTTATTGCTGTTTTGTTAAACCTGAAGAGACCAGATAAACGAGTCATGCTGAACATTCTAGCGATATTATTCTTAGTGAACGACACAACACATTAGAAATTTATACTTAGGACAACAGACATAATGCAAATGTGTTTGTGGCTGTGTGAATGTGTGCATCTCTCGGGGTGTGGGTCTCATTAACACCTCCCGGCAACACTCTTCTACTCTGCTTCCTGAATGCCCACTCAAATCAGTCATGTTGCCGTCTACACAAGCGGCCCTCTCTAACCCCACTCCTTCAGCAGACAGACTGGGCCTTACACTCTCACACATTGTCTATGTTGTCTTCTTGTCTCACTGTGCCTTATGTGAAGTTGCTGACAGAAATGGACTGATGATATTTCAGATGAGAGCCAAAAAAAAAACCTTAAGAACAACAAGAAATATTAGCTAGACATTTGTAATATCACTAGAGATGCTTTGTAATGGTTGCCAATTACATTTAAAGGACAAATCTTTATACTTTATGATTATTGAACATTAATGCGGATAATGCAATTGATGAATGAAAATACTTTTAATACTTTAAAAGATGTGTCTTATGTTCATCAATGCTACATTTATTTAATCAACAATGCAGTGAAATAGTATTGGTATAATTTAAAATGTGTATATATTTTAAAAAGTAATTTATTCCTGTGATGGTAAAGCTGAATTATTAGCAGCTAATCCAATCTTCAGTGTCACATGAGCCATCAGAAATCTTTCGAATATGCTGATTTGGTGTTCAAGAAACATTTATTCTTAAATATAACTTACATCAATTTTATGGAAAATGGCATCTTCATAATGTAGACAATAAGGCAGCTACTTTGGTATTGGGACACAGCCTATTTTACAAAGTCCTTTCATTGCATAGCTGATGGAAATAATGAAAGCTTTCCAGGATCTCTATACATTTTATGATCTCACTGCTCTCTAGTACAGTGTGTTGCCATCAGACCCATTAAGACATTTTTAGCAATATTGATACACTTTCCTTTTCGAAAGTTAAAGAAAGTGTTTTGGTGTTGTCCTTTGTGAGTATGGACATGGGTCAGAGAGGTTAAAGATGTGTATTTGTACACTGCACTCTGGCATGGGTGGTCTGAGCTGTCTCTCCTCTGGGTTTTTATGAGAAGAGTGATGTGCCCTGCAGATGTTTCCACACATGCCACATTTACACAGCCATTATAAAATCATTCCTCATCTCTTTATGACACGAGAATGTTGCTCTCCATGTTGAAAGCCTGCGCAGTCAAGAAAAAAAAAATCAAAGAGAGTAAAATATAGCCCTTTGCGGATTTCAGAATACGTTTTACAATCTCTCTGAAATTCTTTAGTCTGATCGCTTCGCTCATGCTCATGCTCTTTCTTGATCTCTCTGTTTTTCTAAAGAGTTCCATCCAAATCTGAACCACCTGATAATAACCCACCACCTCACTGCAGCCATTCAGGCCTCAGACCGTTTTATTTAGTGTTTTCTTAAAAAGAGCGATCCATACATCTCTGAGCAGTCTGGTTCAGTCGGACGATAAATAAAGATTGCTTTGGGGTGCCGTTCATTGACTATGAAACAGGCACATGGTTCGCATTTTCCAGCTCTATCGGCACGCAGCAGGACAGTAAATTCTGAAAGAGGAAAAACCACTAATTTACATCCTCACTTCCACCATGCCATTGACTCATATAAATTACCTCATTATGGCAGCTGCATTGCTGTGTTGCAGTCCCGAGTACGTCCCAAATGAGACCGCCAGGCTCAGAAGATGATTTACTCAATACTATAATGGCTCTGGTGATTGAGCTGAAGTGGGGATGGAGGCTGATTCTACTCTACGGGATTTATCAAAGCACAAGACGGGCTGACGGTACCTTGATGTATGACCTCATGGAGAAGAGATTGGCGAGCATAGTGGACAGGCCCTGTGCCAGGCAACTCTGGGCTATGAAGCCAGCCTTCAACTCGGCCAAGCAGATCGCATCATCACCCTCCTTCCAGTTCCAGCTGGGAATGTTTAGCAGATGGGCCTGAGGACACATGGGACGAGAAAAGGGGAAGTTCACAATGTCCCCTGCTGAGATGTCAAACAAGTGTGGTAATGAAAAACACCAGATTTTTTTTTAAATCTAAATAGTTCTTACAGTTCAGGGAGAAGTTGTAGTTTTCTACACTAACTTGTAGCAAATAAACATGAATTTATTATATATTATATTAAGGTTTGAAACACACAGTGCAAAACACTGTCAAAACATAACGTGTTACAGCAGCCCCAGTTCTCCCCTGCCTTGTTAGATTATATAAATCTGTCAAACTGATAACGCTGAAATCTCATAACAGTAGCACGTCACTATCATATCTCATTGCTAAAACAGCAGCTTCTCTGACAGTCCTCTAAAACAGTTGTCTACAGTTGACATTCAATTGCTCTCGAGTGAACTGTCCCATGAACAAAAAACATTCATCAAGTCATTAACATCCATCTCCTGTTCTAGCGTTCCCTGATGAATACAAAGCTCATGTTCATGTTGGTGTAATAGGACAAAAGCACTAAACACACTCTGTATTTGAACTTATAAATGTACAGAAAGCAGAATCTGATGGCCTGTTCTCATATAAGTCAGGTTTCTGATCACTTTTATAGCTTCTTTGTAACATTGTATGTACTGTATTCTTTCTGCTTAGGTCGTTTACTTGACAGCAACAAAACAAAATAATACATTTCCTACCTTATTGTGGTATTGCAACATTTGAGTGATTATTCTGATCTTTGGATGGTAGTTCTTGATAGATATTACTCTGTAAAAAAAAAGGAGAGAAGTCAACATGAAACAGCATTTTTGCAGCAAGGGAAATAAACATTTCTGCTTTAAATGGAATAATCAGGGGGAAAGAATATGCAGCACAGAACTTAATTTTATTATATTATGTATCTACTAGGGTATACATATACACCAAATGCTGTTCTTTGAACCTTAATTATCAAAGAATCTTGAAAAAACTGTATCGGTGCTTCGACAAAAATATAAATCATATATATGTATATACACACCTTTAAAAAAATAAATAAAGAAATACTGACCTCCTTTTGAACAGAAGTATATGAAAAGCACTTTCGAGAAATATCATTAACATGACTTACACTCACATGAGAAAACTCTAGACATTAATCTTCTAGTAAAATCTGTTTTATTCTGCATAGAGCAGGTCACTCCCTCATGTAATCAAAAACGTATTAAGTGCACCTTTAACCTCCAGAACTGTCCCAGTATTCACCATCGTAAGTCACTTTGGATTAAAAGCAAGCATCTGCTGAATGAATAAAAAACCAATTCATCTTTCATTTCCATAGAGAAGCATGTGATATGTGGCAGAACAGTGTGACTTCTAGTGAAATCTAGTCTGGATTACTCTCCAGTCTCATAAAAGTGGTGCAGAATTTATTTCCATATTAAGCTGCTCTATAACACATTGTTCAAAAGAGCATCCCAAGACAAGCCTAAATTAATTTCATTTTCCGAACAGGCCAGACTGTGTGCAATTCTGTGTGTTACATGGCTAAAGAACATCTTCAGCATAAAAGGAGGAAGTGAAATATGTTTTCCCTTCCTTCACACACTCTTTCAGGGCAATATTAGTTGACTTCATCCCAAAGGAAATTCCTCCTGGCTCTTTACATCGGTGTCCAGGTATATAACGTGCGAATCTGACCTGAGACGCCGACTATCCCATTCACACCTTTCTTTAACAGCACAGGAGGGTGAAAGACATCAGCTTTCAATACATCTGTTTTACAGTAGGATGTCTCTAGTGAGTGTGATGCTGCTGAACAAAACATGATGTGTTGAAATGTGTCTAGAGTTGATAGCCAAATGTAACCCTTCACCGAACTGACCTCATGATATTAGACGCATCTTCAGCATCAGGGTCTCCACAGTATTTGTTTGCAAGAATCAAGCAGGCATCAGCTGACTCGATCTGTACCAGATGGAAAAGAAAAGGTGAGACGGCGGTGTTCAGAACAGCATAAAAAAATGGACACAAACAACCTCGTACTATTCTGTGTCTGTAATAGACAAACTAATTAGATAATGTATCAGTGTGTGACACCATTATTAAACCAAAATGGGAGAAATACTACGTTTGTATGACGTTACCTTCACTCTTGCTAGATCATGTGGGTTAAGGACAGATCCTTGATAGAATTCCACCTGAGTGAAGTGACGTTTGAACAAGGCTTCCAGCTCAAGATTAGGGGAAATACTAGAGAATGGCAAAAAGAGAAAGTATGTTATTAACCAAGTGATGTAAAGCTCTGCAATTTTGAGAATTTTTTCAATTCAAAGGAATAATGTTACATGTGTGCGTCAAAAAAAAAAAAAAGATTTAGTTACTGGCTGATCTCTTTGTTATATTAAAACAGGTAACTATATGTGATTTCTTTGTTTTTCTGAGTAACACACAGTCATTATATTCTTTACAGTGGGCAAAGGCTCCATCAATCTCATAAAATGTATTCCGAAGGGAATTGTACTTACTTATGAAGAAAAACAATTTCTACATTGACATCATCCCTGTCCTTGTGTAGGAAGTCTTTAAGGAAGTTGGAAACACTTTCGAGCGTGATATGACCACAGACCACAATATGCCTGTAAGGGGGAAAATTCAGCTGAAGAGTGCAACATAAAATAAAACAAAACTCTGGCATATCCTAAAAAAAAAGTCCAGAATAATAACCAAAATGTCTTGAAAACATTAAATGTTGTGGCTTTCAAACATTTGCTGTCTGTTATAGTCATAATAGCACATGTTGCTTTACCTCATATTTATAAACATGGTTTAAACACTAAATTAAGTGCTTTGAATTTTAAGGGCAAACTAAATTTAATCTTACTTTTTAATGTTGGATTGTCAAATGTTCTTAATAAGGTACGTCTCTGTAGCCAAACCACCCTTGTGCTAAGACGCATGTTGACATGTACATCAGTACTAACTGACATGTATCGGAACCTCTGTCAAAAGCAGTTAAATTGTTTTTGGATCTGTGGCTGCCTTGAACTCTAACCGTGACTTCTCTGGACAGGCACCGAATGAAAAACTTGTGATACATCAGACGGAACAAACAAACAGACTCAAATGGATTGTTCCAGAGGTCACGGACTTCTGGGGCTCATTTATTCTGCCTCTATAATACTCTAGAGCTGTTCCAAAACCTCGTAGTGAGTTGCCTTGACATCTACTGGCTATATAGGCAGCGCTCAAATAGCACTTCTGTGCAGTATTAGCTAAAGTTAAAGATGCAATAATCACATAAACGAGAGTGCTGCTGTTATTCATACTGTACATTATATCGATTGAGTATTGAGTAACTTACATTATAGACACAACATTGTTAGTTGTCTATTTTTGTTCCACCAATGAAAATAAAATCTAAACAGGACCAACTGTTTCATCCCAGAGCAATATACAATAATGTTGGTCAAATAGGTTGAGAAATTGATTCAGTGCATTTGAATTTGAATGTACTTTGTTCATCTGGTATGTTCTATATAGTATGAATACTATTTATATGTATTATACCCGCCATGTTGTTGTTACTGTCACATGACCTACCAGTGCACACTTCAGAATCTCGGCAGAAATAGTAATCCAATAGTTAGGGTACTTTTCCCCTACTTTTTACCGTTTTTTCTAATACTATGTATTCGGACATGCTATTCTTTTGGCATATTGTTTTTCGCGTATTATATACTAAAGAAGTGTTCGATTTCGGATGCAGCGACTCATTTGTTTAATTTCTGAATGAATCACTGTGTTTTGAATCAGTTTAGTCAATGATTAAGTGACTCACTTATAAAAGGCACTCGATTCATTTCTGAAGTAATCCGAGTATGAATTAATCAGTTTAGTCAATGATTAAAGATTGTCAAATTTTTCAGTGCTGAATAAATCAGTGTGATTCAATGACTCAAAGAAAGTAACTTGTCGCCACCAACTGGCACGGCGATGTAACTTGAAAAAAGAGTCACTGAAAAATCCCTCAACTGAAGGTTGTTTTCAAGCCTTTAAACTATATACCATACTACACACTAATGCACTTTAAATTACACACCAAAGTTGTTCTCAAGAGTTTTACATGTGCAGTGATCTGACTCACATAAAAAAGATTACGGCCCATCATAACTATCCCAACAACTTAATGGCCACTTCTATTACTGTTGCAGAACAATAACCATGTTTTATTTGTCAAGCAGAGCTTCTATGCAACAGGAGGTTAAAGAGTTGAGCTGTAGCCATTGGGTTTTGCGGATCACTTCACTTCCCATGCTGGATGACTCCAATACTGCTGTGGTCAAAGTCTCAAGAGCTTTAACCGTGCATGGTAATCAATCTAAATCTGTCCAAACTAACAGCAGACTCGATGTGTACAAAGAACAGGGGCTGCTGACCTTAATTGTAACTGTGTGTATGTGCCTGTGCTCTCTCAGGTGCTGGAGAGATGTGCTTATTTGTGCTGAGATCCAGGGCAAACATTAAGCGGATCTCTGTTTGCCGGAGGGACCTGATGAGGCTTTATGAGTGCAGTGTCTGGATGCTATCACACATAATGATCTTCACAGATCTGGCCTCTTGTATTTAATGAGTGGTAGTAATTGCAGGCTTGACTGTCCTGGGATGAGACGACTCTGTTGAGTTGATGGTTTGGTCTAAAGCCAACAGTGTCTGGCAAAGGGGTGGCTTGATGAGAGACACATTATTCATGTTTTCCTATTTCCAAAAATGCCCATTTGTGAGCTTTAGCTAAATCGGAGGGTTTTATATGACAATGCTCTCACTCTGTTTTGCTCTAGAACAGCAGAGTCTCTGGCAGGGATACAAATACACTCTGTCTCGACTTATGTCAGACATCTTGTCTCCATGTTTGGATGAGCCATCAGTGGTGCGTGACTGTGCTACTGATTGAGTTTCACCACAGTGGGGGAATTTTTTTCATTTATTTATTTATTTATTTTTACAAGAAATAAAACCATGCAAAAGACTATAAGGTAAGACTAATGTCATTATGGGCTGTATTGGTGTTGAAATGATCAGAAATAATTCTGACAGAATACTTTTAGTTTTTTTATTTAAATTCTTTATAGTAGATTTGATCAGAGGTTGATTCTGTTTTGTTTGTTAAAGAATAACAAGACAGCAATGGTAAAATTTTAAAATTCATTGTAAAATAATGCAGCTTTTATTAGGCTATTGATATGACTAGTCTCTCCATGTGAGTATATATCAAAATTGCTAATCTTAAATTACTGAGTGCACGTTTAAAGACTTACAATAGCACTTGTAAGCATTTGTTGTACAATTTTAAACTTCTTTATGTCTGTATAGCCACAATATTGTTCACAAATAGGGGAATATTATTATTATTTTAAAAATAAATTCAAGTTTTTTTAATCACTGATTAAAAGTAATATGAATAATAAACACCAGAGCATTGTAACAAGAAAAGAAAACTATACATTTAAATTATATAAAAATGCTTTAAAAAAAATACTACTGGAAAAACTTCAAGTCTACACACTTAAGATGTCGTCAACTTAAAATACACACACTAAAAACACTACACTGTGAACAACACACAGTGAAGAGAACACTTGGGTTGCAACACGATAAGGTGAAATAAAATGTTAAAACAAAATATGCACAAACAGAGCAATCAAATGCAGAAGAGCAGTTACCCAGCATGCACTGTGAAACATGCCAAATAAAAACGAGAAAAAAAATTGAAGAAATTAAAAACAACAAGCTCGAACATCAGCCTCAGCAGCGAAACCATTGATACTGCTCTAATCCTTAAACTGATCAATCATTTCAGAGCCGAACGAAAAGCCTGTTTCCGCGCTCGACTTTTATAAATCAACATTTTATGAACAGATAGCTGTGTGGAGAATGTCACCTGATGAAAGGGGTGAATGCCTGCATTTCTCTTCAAACCAAGAGAGAACAGAGCTTGAGATGGACATGTGTAGTCCATATGGAGCTAAGACTCCATCATCATTATGACTTGATGTAGGAGAACAATAATGAATTTAATTTGGCAACTCTTTAGCCAGTAACACCTCTTTAAACTACTGTAATTATTCAAAAACATTTCATTATGTCATTTTTACTGCAATTTCTCAGGATATGCTGTAATGCTGGGCATCGCTCAATGATAACCAGATATCTAACACTAGGGGGACCAAATATAACAGGTTAAGAAATGAATCGACCATTGAAGCATATATTATCTGATCGGTAAATTGTTACACATCATAAGAGTGGATCAGTTTGAAGAGTGTTTGCTTTGACCACATGCTTTTCATTAATTAAACTGAAAAAAGATATCCAAAGTATCCAAGAACCGAAAAGACGTTTAAGCAGCATTTATGGCCAGTCAATGTGGTCTGTGATGGGCAAAATCTTTGCATACGAATTCTAAATTAATCTATATTTCTGGGACCCAGCAACTCATGTTTTCCTCTGTGTTTCCCGATTTCCCAAAATGATTATCCATTTAAAAGCAAAGTCAGGATCATGCATGTTTAGTTGAAGTTGACAGAAAACTGTGTCAAAGTGCTGGAAAACACTCATTTACATTAAACACCTATTAAATTCAGTTTCCGCTAATTCATATTTACACTATTGATCATTCAAAGACACCATTCATATGTTTTTTTCCATGCAGCATATGTTTTCTGCTGCTGCTGGGTCCCAGGAGGTTATACATAAACACAAGTTTCTGTTAAATCTCAGCCTTATAGCTAGCAGGAGACTGTTCAATGCAGTAAGCTGTCCAACATCACAGACTATACATCAAATTGTCAGCTATGCATGGATAGTTCCCCTACACACCTGAGCAGAAGTCAGGAAGCCAGATGACTGAACCTCCATGATCTCACTTGTTTTAATGCGTTGTGAGAGCCATATCAGTAATGGCATTTCTACATGTCATTTCACCCTCTTTCAACTCTTACTCCATGCATGCTCATGCCAACACAGACCTGCTCTGACTGCTGCGGGGCAAGCGGTGCCGGCTCCACATACTTGGTGTGGCTTCGATTTTGGAGAGAAGCTCAGAGGCGGCGCATGAGCTCAGAGTTCACTCAGGGTTTATGTCAGTTTCATCTGCGCTCTAATGAAAACCACAGAGACCCCGGCCTGATCTGACAGAACGCTGCTCTATATTACAGTCATAGATCCAGATCTGTGATCCCCTTCTGATGGCTAAACATCATCAGAACACGCTGCTGACATAAACAGACATCATAAACCTGGCTGTGGCATTGATTCAATAGCAGAGATTACACTTCAAACGACTGCAAGGCTCGATACGCCATGACCGTAGTGTCAAGGCTCAAGACAAAAAAAGAAAAAAAAATGACTGAAGAGCTATTGGTGTCTAAATGGAAACATTTACAAATTGCAAAATCACTCAATAAAGACAATTGTTCACTTCAGTTCAGTGAGTGCACAGCGTCTTTAGCTTTTAACAAAAGACATGTGCTGCGTTACGGGACTGTAGTATATGGACTATGATTATGATTTTTTTTCTTTATACACTACTGTTAAAAAGTCCTTAATGTTCAACCAAGGCTACATTTATATGATCAAAAAACATTAAAAACTAATATTGTGATATCGATTATTTTATATTACAATTTAAATTAGCTGTTTTCTATCTCATACATTTTAAAAATGTAATTTACTCCTGTGGTGGTTAAGCTGAATCTTCAAATCATCACATTTGAATGATGTAGAAATGTCAACAATATAAATGTCTTTACATGCTTCAATTTAACCCTAAACAGTAAGTTATATGAACAGTAGTGTAGATATAACTTGATGCTGTCACTCTAGTAATTTGTCCATCACAAACCACATTGATCGTAAATACTAAAATACTTTGAAAAAAAAAAGAAAAGAAAAATCACACCAACTAGTCTTTACTCCTTAAGTTTCGTCACTTTACTATGATAAACAACCAATCACATTGTAATAAAGTTTCAGACATAAACAAAAAACTACTTACAGTTAAGTTATTAACATTATCTGGTGATCTATGTGAATTAGTCTGGTGGATCTGGTGAATTATTATAATTTTACTGTCATATTTGTGACCATTTTAGTCAATCTGGAACCCAGTTATTAAGCTAACAGATGGATCTGCATTTTAAACAATTATGCAGAAAAGCAAAATGGAATAAAAAAAAAGACCTGGTTTCGCTGATTCCAGGTTATTCCCACAAATATGATAAGAATACTTTTATTAATAATAATAACTATTTTAAAAATAATCTATAATCTTTGGTCTTTAATTCAAGCTAAACTACACTTAACATTAGTATAATCAGCATTTATATAACATCTATGCAGCTTCCAAAGCTTATTCATAAACACCTACTCATGGACTGTTTTTTTTTTTGTACTTTTGTGAGTTTATGCAGAATTAGACTCTAAACGCATGTATTTTGCACCAGCCCGAGCTTGTCGGAAATGTGCTGACAGTTGAAATAAATATCTCGACACATTTATTTCGAGGTGTCGTGCTGTGTCCGTTCATGAGCACTCAGTCCCATGCATATTTAAACAATAAGGCAAAGCCCTGGTGCCTGTCTCTCTGCTCGGCCAGAGAGCTGGAGCCTACTGTAATTGCAACCAGATGCATGCATAGCCAGAGAGAGAGAAAGTGAGAGAAAGAGAGAGGCTCAGCTCTTTTGACAAGGCCTTCTCTCAACACCAGACTGCGAATCCAAACGTGGGGCCGAGGCCAAACATAACATTTCATCAATCTTGTTTCACTGACAGCGAAACGGCATCAAACAAAGGGGCTCCTAATGACTTTCTCCCGGCTTAGTATTTGCCCTCAAATTCAGATGATGAAAGCCGGACGTGACCGTGGGCCTGTTTCACGCTGCGTAATGGGTTGGGAAATAGTGCGCACGCTAGAGAGAGAGAGAGAGCGGGCTCTAGAACTTAGACGCGAGCGTTTGGGAGAATCGCTGTGCTGATGACAGGGCCGTGTTTGAGCCAGAAAACGAGTGGGGGGGAGGGGGTTCAAAATATCCACATTCACATTCAGGGGTCATCTTTGAAAAGGAAAAGAAAAAACGGAACATGATAAAAGTACCAAGCGGGGCAAAAAAGCAAGCCAATTGCAATGGAGCAGCTCCAGTGCGAGAGCTGAGGCATCCAAGCATTCAGGGTGAGCGCTGACTGAAGATCAGGGCCAGAGTCATGTCACACGGAGATGAGGTTATGAGCCAGCAGTGACGCACAGCCAGAGAGGCTTTTCTCACTGCAGCATGCACAACCAACCAAACAAACAAACAAACAAACAAAAAAAGCCAACAGACATCCATTCACAGAGAGCATGCGAGAGATGGATCAAGCATGACGAGTAGAACTCAAAGAAAGAACAGAAAATTGAATCAAACACAAGACAATGATGACACTAAGTAAACAGCGTCTTGTCTCTGAGCATCATAAAACTAGTTCTATGAGTTAATGATTTCATTTTCTCATGTATATTACAAATACGAAGCAGACACCCATTGTACAGCAGCACATAACGGATGGAAAACCAACAGCAGTCACTGTAATGAAATTAAAAATGCAGCAGATGTGTTACGAAAAAGAAGCCACGGACACAGAGCAAAGGGCATGGACATGTGGCTTCGATGGCCAAGGTCTCCAGTCACAGTGTGACTTTCATTTGTCCTACAATTTGTTGTCTGGACTAACCCCCTCTCTATCTGAGAAGGGGGAGTTTGAGTCACACAACCACACCTGGTTCTGGATTTTGACTTACTTTCTGCCTCGTGTCGAGTTATAACTCCCTCCGTATTTCTTCCGATTAAGGATGAGAGCAGCAATTTCTGGCACGTAGCGAGCAAACATGGCCTACATGCATGGAACAGAAAAAGAAAAGGGCATGCAAAGAGGGGTTCTGCTGTGACCGAGGCCACAGAGGCACCGTGAATACTTACTTTCTGCCATTTACCGCACTATAGGAACCACCATATTTCTTGCGGTTTCCTATTAACTCTATGATTTCAGGGACGTAGCTGGCAAACATGGCCTAAGGAGAAGATGGGAGACAGAAGCAGAGGCTAAAAAAGAGAGCGGAGAGACCCGTCTGAGTCTGGATTTTTACCCCCAACCTCTGAGGTGTAGAAATTGATGTTTTGTCGGGGGGGGAAATGGTGTAGCTTGGTAAAATGTTCGTAATTTTTAAACGTCCATTGTGCTTCTGAAAAGATCTGAAAAGATCTTTTTTTAATTGAGGGGGGAAACAGAATAATGGACAAAAAGCCAACTTTGGAGACACTCCACTTTTTTTTTTTTACTTTTTTTTATTGGTGCTGCCCATCTGTTTTCTTTGACAGCACAAAAAAATGATCGTGGGAAAACGAAGAAAAAACCTACATGCCATGTTTTGTCCAACAAACACTATTGCAGTGGCAAGTGTATTTGAATAGTCCGGCCTGATCGCCCACAGCTGCAAAGCACATTAAGACTCATTAGTGTGCTTTAAATGAGCTGGATGCGCTTTGCAAGATTGCAGCCTTGACTAAGTTCTGTTTTATCTCCACGCAGCATGTTACTAGAGATCTTAATCCCCGAGTTGTCAGCCTGACCTTCCGAAGAGAGTTGCGAGTTCTTCATCCCACACTAGGGCCCTAATGAATTATGAAATCTGTCTGATCAGACCTGACGGTTTACAACATTTCCATACTGAAGTCATTAATTGAACACCTGATATAAAGCAGAGCGATGATTATTTCCAGTCCTCCTCAAAAACAAAGAGAAATAGCAGATTGCTATGGAAACGTCTGGACAGCTGGAACGTTCTGTCCGGTGATAGGAATGGAGCGCATCTGTCCTGCGTTATGTTTATATGAACATAAGAATTGTTGAATGCCTGTGGATGATCTATACCCTGATCTTGAGTCTGTTAAGGCTGGACGATATACATTGATTATTGAATTTGTATAATTTCCTTGAATCATTTCTTTTTAACTTTTCAAAATGACATCCCCTTAAAAAACGTATTCACTGTAAAAAGTGAAAATTAGTTACCTTAAACAACTATTTCTCTCTGATCGGACCCATTAATTACACAAGCGCAACCAAATGCATTCATGTTCACACAGTAATATGATGAAACTATTAAAAGATGACACAATGTTTTTAGGTTAATTTAAAAAAAAAAGATACTATATAATAGTGAAAGTTTAATTATTTTATAAAAAATAAAATTAAATAAAAACCATTATTCATATTACTCTGCTCATGTGGAAAACGTCCTTTTTTAATTCGATTTTTACGATCTTCAATGTCTTATGCAATAATTATTATATAAATGAGAACAGGCCTATCTGATAGGATTTGAATGATAGTATTTATTATATAATGATATATAACTACACTTTTTTAAACTAAACTTGTTAATTGCAGTTGGAAACCATAAACTGATCAAATCTAATTAAAATCGAACTAAATCTACTAATCCCAGCTGTTTATCTCTCATTTATTTGCCGTTCTCCTCTTCTAAATCAATTTAACAAAAAATCCTGTGAAACATACACAGCTAGTAATCTGTGTTATTGCTATGTATATTTTTCTGTTTCACCATCTAAAGTTGCGCTGGTGTAAATGCACTCTTTTAGTGTTTGTGGCTGCTGTTGCTATGGAGACGCTCAAGCAGGACTATGGGCCATCCGCCTGCCACTGTGTTTGTTGGAATTCGGGGAGGGAAACAGAAGGATGGGATCTCCTGAAACCGCAAAACTGTTTTAAGAGAATAGCAACAACATTATCGTCAAAATACATTCTTTAAAGACTATTTTGAATGTAATAAACATGAGTGGTAGTGTCATAGAGCATCTACAAGAATTTACACAATACATGTACATTTCATCTTAACTTGAGCTGTAATGTTAAAACAAGGTAATGGATTTTAAAGGCAGGGGTGCAAACGTTACAAAGACAGTGGACGTATACAATATGGTAAAAACAGCGTTATAATTTGGGCCATTATGAAGACTGTGGAAAGACGACAGTTACGAGAGTCAAATCACAGGAGTTGTCTTATTTTTACATGGTAGTTGGAGCAAGGCGTTTGCATGGGGTAGGGGGAGAGGTGCAGGACGGGTGCATCGAGTGCCAACAAGAGGAAAAGTGTTTTTACCAGACCACCAAGAATGAAGAAGACCATGAAAAGGCGTCCAAGAGTGGTTCTTGCATAGACGTCTCCATATCCCACAGTGGACATAGTGACCATTAATAAGTACACACATTCCCAATATGAGAGCGGTTGAGAGTTTTGAAAGTTTTCCCATGGATCCCCTGAGTTTTCCACCTGCAGTGGAGAGGAGAGCGAAGAGAGAATTACTGAGCGATCAAAACACGATCCTCTACAGCCATCTAGTGTCCATAGAGAAAATCACAAAAATGAATTGTGAGATAAACCAAACTGAGGATTTAGTGGCAATCAGAGTCTTTACTGCCATCTAGTGGCACAGAAGTCCTCTGGCACATCCTAATAAAAAAAATAAATAATAATAATAATAAAAACACCAAGGAACAACAAAACACCAAACCTTTAGATGAACTACAACACAAACCATATACGCCACAAAGAGACAGACGTGACGCTCGTTTAGGAGCTTTTTCCACCCACGAATCTGCACGTACACTCCTTTCTTTGTTAGTTTCTCCTGGGGCATAGGGAGAAGGGGGGACGTGTGTGTGTTTTTTCACTCACCAGATGAATGAATCCTGCAGCAGTGAGCCATGTGCTTATGAAGATGGAACACAGGTTCACCAGCTTGATGGAATTACTGTGAGAGACGAGAGTTACATCAAACCTCTCAAAGTGAAACGCATCACACTGACGTACAGATCAGTCAGTCATCTACTGAGCCCAACACACACACGAGCGGCCGCTTCCAGCCACGCCTTGCCGTAACGCTGCTCACTGGGAGTGAACACACAAGTTATCAGCAAACAAATCAGAAGACAGTGGGATCCCGAGGATAACCAGCCCATATCTAAAGAGGCGTTCACACTGTTGGTTTCAAATCTACAGCATGTCAGGGGGTGGATTGCATGCTACTTCTCTCATTGGTAGTCGGCTGTGCGTTTGGCGTAAAGATGACCCCAACTATGTTATGTCGGCAACTTTCCTGATGCTCAAATTGCCACTCTCGCCGAAAATGAAAGACTTCTGGTCACTGCAAATCGCCGTCAATGTGAACACCCCTTCTTTAGCAGCCAATGAGAGAAAATACAGTGGTGGAAATGTAACGTCCTGTTGACAGCTGTGTCAGTTCAGTGTGATATATCGGAGCAATTTCCCCTGAATGAAAAACGAGATAGCAGCTAAAATAAATGAAACGTCCAGCGGTTTTACAACCACTGAGTTGGGTGCTGACTGCTTTTTCCCCACTTCCTTTCTGATTCATTGACTTTTTTTTTTTTTTTTTCACGAAATACCCCGAGATCTGTCATGTGTGTGACAGCCTAACGGAGGAGGAATCAATCAGAGGCCTGTCTGCTTCATACTCTTGCACTCATCAGGGTGGATGGCGGCCCTGTTCTCTTACCTACAGCACACTAAAAGTGCACAGTGTGGGATTAATGTAAAACATTCGGCGCAGACTTCTGGGTCAAGTCTGGGTAAGTGAAGGAACGGACGCCAGAGACCGTACAGACTGTGTGTTGATGCCAGCGGAGTGGAGCTTTTGAAACGGACAGTGAGAGAGATGCGTGATATGTCGTCGGCCTTACCTTGTTTTTAAGATATTCAAAAACTGTAAAATTTCTGAGAACTGTATCAATCTCAAGGCTCTTAGAAACCTCAGACCTACAAGAGAGGAGAAAAGCAGAAAAGAATGAATCCAAAATTGTTATTGTACAGCAATCTGTATGTTCAGAATGGAGCACCAACTTATGGCATACTAGAGTCTATTTTTGTTTTTAAAGGCCTCATGAATGGCTTGTCAGGCTCAGTTTTCTTTCAGGCATTGATGTGTATAAAGTTGGGGTGGAACATATCAAAATAGATCTCTTTTTTTAATTGTTGTTTTTATTATTGTCAAAAAGCTTTAGTTGAAATCACAGCCATGCAATAAAGATTTGTATTAGTGTTACTTGCTCGTATTTTTAAACCTTACATGTTTATGTATATCCACAAAAAAAGTTCTTAGATACATTTTAGGAGGGTGAGGAGGACCTCATAATAACAGTACAAAAAGTCACAATAATAATAATAAAAATGTATGAGTCTGTATGAATCAACACACTATGCAATGATGAACATGTCAAACAGCAGTATACAGCTTCAACGGTCAATGGCATATTACACACAACTATCATCACACAAATTTCAATGTAATATTAAAATGACTACATTTTAGTAGCTCAGTCATATAGGCTAATGAGTCACAAATAAAACAGATTTTCAGTCCATTTATTCTTCTGGAAATGGGAAGGTCAAGCACATTGCATTTTGAATTACAATAATCCATGAAGTGTACTCTGCATTCTGACAAATATAGTAGTTTGTTCAGATATTTTCTGCATAGTGTGCAAACACTGCATTTCTAGTAAGAGTAGTATTTTGGTATTTTGGTATTTTGCACTCCAAACATTTGCCAATCTGAACATCTAATATTTTAAAATCCCTAAAAAAAGTTTAGACATCTTATAAAAAACATAAAAACATATTTATTTAAATTATTTTTAATTTTCTTATTTATTTGTATTTATTAATCATTCTTACACATTTTTCATGACCATTTATTTTTAAGCAAAATTTTAAGCAAAAATATTGTTCCTTGTATTATATATATATATATATATATATATATATATATATATATGGTTGTTATGTATTGCAATCAGTCGTTAAGCATTTATTATTTTAACAATTTATTTAGAGCTTAGAGTAGAGAAAGAAGAGTCATGGAACAATCACACGTACGTGTGTGTGTGTGTGTGCGTGTGTGTGTGTGTGTGTGTGTGTGTGTGTGTGTCAGAAAGCAGATTAGAGAACAATCACCTGCTCCAGCAGACTTCTTACATAAACAGAATATTTTGTCCTGATTTCAGCCTCAAAAACATCATCTATCAGAAGCACATCACAACATCTTAGTTTTGCTCATTCCAAATTTGTACAAAAACTAACTCAATGTTCTTTAACTTGTATAAGATTCCCCCTTTTTGAGCCAAAACCATAATGGAGGGCAAACCTGACGTAAACAATAGATTACATAATCAACATTTCACAGATTTAACGCTTTTGGACAAAAAGCGCTTTTCGATGGACGATTGGCTTGTACCCAAGTGTAACGGATTGATTTCATCTCGCCATCACAGTTTCATCAGTCTCATTTAGATTCTGCATTTAGCTTTCATTTGTATTTCTGATAGGAATGACTATTTTACTGTTGCTGGAGCATTTCTATCATAAATCACAGAACAGACACTGAAGCTAAACCCATAGAACTATCAATATATGCCAACATTTATTTGAAGTCGGGCCAGAGAGTGGGGGTCAGGTCCTGACAGGATTCGCGCTCTCTCTTTGCAGAAATATTTGACTTCAAGTTTGAGGTTATCTTCAGCCACAGGAAACAAAAACACCTCAATAAAACTTGGATGTCTTACCCCATTTAGACAGCACATGAAAGCAGTAAAAAAAAGAGCTCTGACTGTCACTCCTGCCATCTCCAGTCTGGCCTGGGCCCAACTTCACACGGTAACCGTTCTGAAACAGCTCACCGCACGACTTTTTGCGCCGTACGCTCTCTTGAACGGTTTCCGTGACCAGAGCACCCCGCGGGCCCCGAAACACTAGCAGCTTGCTGGAAATCATGATTCTGAGAGCCTACTTCTTTATAAATCCAGAAATGTGGAATGTAATCTTTCCTCAGAACTTCTAAAATGTGCAACCTCAGATTTACTTGATCAAAAAAAATCTAATTTTGACTCCAAGAAAAAGAGATCATAGAGCATGAACGCCAGAATGTGTCGAAAAGACTGTTTAGCAATAATAAAAACCCTTCAAGCTTAGACTGAGGCACCTGTCATTGGATGAAAATCTGATTGCAGCCACAATCTCTGACGTATTTGGTCTGATCTTTTCAATATTAAACTCCCACGCATGTATCTTGCCTTTGATCCCCTCTCTGTTAAAGCGAGGTGACTAGCTTTTGTATAGACTGAACCCTTCTAGAGATTTAGATCTGTTAAAATGAAAACGGAAATGGAAAGAAAAAACAATCCTGAATTAATCACTGGGGTTGTACGTGAAGTGTTCTCATTAGGTTTTTTATTTGCTTGTTTTCTTTTTTACTGATAACTGCAGTGGTGTAACTTTGCTTTAAAAAGTGGGTGGGGGCTAATACAATGCTAAATCATAAATCAGATGTACTTATGTACAATAACATACCGATGTCCAGCAATCGATTTAAATAGTACATTGTGTTTAATGAGATCTAATGTGTTGGTGCCGAGAATTTTCACGAGAAGAGAAATACATAGATCTGACAAAATCATGAATGTACTTTAATGGTCCTGTGGCAGAACTTTTGCCAAGCGTGTCAGAGGTTCTGGGTTCTAATCTGCACTTGTATAGTTTTTTTTTTTTTTTTTTTTTCCTCATTAAATTCAATTATGTTCATCAGTGGTGAGCACTTTGATCACTTGATTTCAAAAACAACACATTTCAGCGCTAGATCACCTCTTATTTAACAAACGAACGAAATGAATGCTCTTCTAGTTAACTAGAGATGTTTTATTTGTGGTGGCTGTCCCACACGCAAATTACGCCTATGGATAACTGTAATTCTGTGCAGAAATGTAATAACACAGAACTGTAATTCTGTGTTATGCTGGAAAGATAATACATTTCATAGCAATAATTGCTTTCTAAACGAAGTTGTGTAATCCTGCTGATACAATGTACCTACTACAGTAAGTAGCCACGGTATCTACGTTGTGCATCAGTAATTCCCATGAACCTTTGGTGAACCTGATAGCATGTTTCTGTCTCAGCAGTTGAAAAGCCCGTGGCAGAGGATCCAGGAGAGTAGGCCAGTACTTTACACTGAAGCAGCGTTAATGGAAATGTGTAGTATGGACAGATGCTCATTCAGACTATTTCATTCACATCTGCAGGCCCACAGATCAACAGCATGTCACGTGTGTTATAGCCACAAACCACTGGTTCTTTTTCTCAATCAGGGAATACTGCACGTTTAAAGAGGATAAAGGGCCACCGGGATTATTCATCGCTGGTTTCTCCCAGAATGCATCCACGCAGGCATGTACTGAAGCCTGCCATGTGAGAGAGGGTTTTATTTATGAAAGACGCTTAAAGCACAAATTAGTTTCCTTCACAGATTTTTCTTCTTCTGGTCAGGCGACTCTAATTCCTAACCGAGAATCTTCTAGTTCCAGTAGTGTGGCACATTACTGCTTCAAACCACCAGATGGCAGTAGTACTTAATATCCACATAATCAGGGCTAGACTGGGACCACTGATGGTGAGAATCCACCACCACAAACTCCATCAGAAAACAAATAACTTTGATATACATCTACTAAATTACATTTGGAGAGATTGATTTATTAAAATGAAAAGTTGTATAGAGTAGATCAGAACGCGTAACCACTGAGAATGTAACATTAGCATACGTATACTAATTTCTTACCGTTTTATTAATCATAATCAGACTCTTACAAAGCATTGGGTACATTTGGTTGGTTGTTTAAACCCTGTTGCAATATCATACAAAAACAAAAACAAAGTTACGCATGCTGTCCACCTTCAAAAAGGAAAAACCTTTGAACTTTCTATTCATCAAATAATAGTGGAAATTTATCACACAAACTGTTTTTAACACTAGTAATAATACAAATGTATCTTGAGCACCAAATCAGCAAATCAGAATGATTTCTGCAGGATTATGAAGACTGCTTTGCCTTGACAGAAATACATTACATTTTAAATTATAACAATATTTCACTATATTAGTGTTTTTACTGTATTCTCAATCACATAAATGCAGCTTTGGTGAGAATAAGAGACTTATTTCAAAGACATTCTTTTGAAAAAAAGTCTTTTGAACAGTAATGTGTATAACACAATTCTAAATTAGAATGTTTCATTTTGTTTAAAATGGTTTGTAGCTCCAAGCTATATCACGTCATTGAGGAAACCCCCCCTTTCAAAAGAGAAGTACGGAAAAGACTACAGTACATCACTGAAGCTAGGAATCTCTATTTGCGTACCCTCCATTAATATGCACAAGATCTCCACACATAAGACACTGTGATAAATGCCTTTTCTCCCCAGACAGATACAGCTTTTGAAAGAGGACTTTAACTCACAAAACGTCTCAATTTCAGAGTCAAGTACGTGTTGTTAATTGATTGCAAAGATGAAGGAAGAGAGCCTCGTGCTAATCCATACACAACTCTTGTGTTTAAAAATATTCTCCTGCACTACTTTGAGAAGATTAATTTCTATTTCCCAGAAGAGGGTTTCTGCATTCCCCTTAAATTTCACTTTAGTCAAAACATTGCTTTAATCAAGGTCCAATTTTCAGAGTGGGAATTGTATAGCCAAGGTTCACTCATGTGCCAGGGTCTTTGACAGTCCCTACAGCAGATTTAATTATGATCCATCATACAGTAGTTTCCTTTACAGGGCGGGACAAGGGGGTCCAGAATACAATAGTTCTTGAAAATGTGAGTGAAATGTTTTGAATTGAATTATCCAAAGCTTAAATATACAAACATGTTGAAAATGCAAGCCTTAAAAATACAATGCATATTTTTATCAATTAGTGCAGTTCAACAAGCTTTTTTGTTTCAAAAACATTTTTTTCCATACATTTGGCTTTAGTTTATACGGGTATGTATTACATGACATATTTACAACAGGGTTTCGACAAACAACTATATTATAAAAGGGTCTGATTATGATTTGTCCTGGTGGAAATTTAGAGCAGAATAGTTATCCTTAGTCCAGGAGAGCTCACTCCCGAGGGACTGACAATTCCTCAATGTTTATTATGCTGTTTGTTCTCTAAAAGCTCTTTTCGCTGAGATTAATATACCTCTGATCTTCTGTATATTATCATTATGTAATATATGACCACTGTAGTTCCCTCTATTCAGAGTTTGCTGATGGTGTAGGACACGTGGCTGATGTTGCTCCAGATTTCATATGCCGCCCGTTTCACAGTCTTTCATCATGTCTGAGAATTTGTCTCTGTTCTGTCAGAGCACTCTTTGGTCTTTGAGATGGCTTTATTCTGCAAGAAAGGCCCATAGTAAACCATGTCCCCAAAAGTACCCGGAGCACATTTATTCTGTGTTTCATATCCACACTTCACGTTTACTGCACAGAGGGCCCTATCTTACACCCGACGCAATGCAAACAAGGTCTGAAGACGAGGTGTGTTTAGGCCCATTGTTGACGCGTTGCTATTTTGAGGCAACAGAAATAGAATGAAAATTGGTCTAAAGTCAATGGCACAATATTTCTTTTTTGTTGTTATTTAAAGAGCATGTTAGTAATGTACGCCTATAGGCGGGTCTCTGTTTAGGGACAGACAGGGCCGCACGGCATCACATAAACATGCCAAATATTACAAATAAAAGGATTACAATATTAAATATTATTATTATGTACATAAAGATATGGTGGAATCACATAGATATGCTTGCACACTTTTACCTTGCACACAAGCAGTTCTGTTTGTGCTCTGGAGGCGCGCTATCCACTAGCAAATTCTGTCAAGTAAATAGCAAATCCGCCATGGCGCGAGTGCAACTGGCATTTAAAGGGAATGGGAGATGAGACTCTGATTGGTTTAACGCACGTAAATCCCAAAACACACCCACTTCTCACCAAGAGAATACGGACAACCCTTTTAGACCATGCGCCTGTCATGCCAACCATTTTTCCCTGTCTTTAAACTAGCAAAAGTGGATTTGGACATGCCCTAAGTGAACTTTGTACCACTGGAGGGATCTAGCTGAGTTTAACAAGCTTTAGTTTTTTTAAAAATTTGAAACAGTATTACATCAATTTGCATCAAAGTAACATATTACATTTATTCATGTGATGGAAGAGCTGAATTTTCAGCATAATTTCTCCTTTCTTCAGTGTCAAATGATCCTCCAGAGTCAAATGATCCTTCAGAAATCATAATGATACGGTGATTTGCTCCTCAAGAAACATTATGATCAATGAACAAAGTTAATATTTTTGTGGAAACCATATTATATTTTAGACTTTGGAGAAAAGAAAATTCTAAAGAACAGCATTTATTTAAAATAGAAATCATGTAACATTATAATTGTCTTTAACTTTAAACAATCTACTGTACTCGCCCTTAAAATAAATAAATAAATAAAAATCCTGACTCCTTTTGAACAGTAGTGTTCAGTATACAGCTCCCGTAAAGTTTAGCATAATTGGAACTTGTCCAAATCTTAATTATTTATTATATATAATAAATTAGTTGTATAATAAATTATAAATTATAATAATTATTTAGTATAATAATAATAATAATAATAATAATTATTATTATAATTACAATAAATAAATTAGTATAATAAATTTGATCTTTCACTACTCATTCAATTGGTTTTGTTGGGAAAAAGGAAAACTGAAGTCTAGTTTCTTCTGATTTAAATTCTACATCCCATAAATATTTTAATCATGATTCTTCTACAAGCGGCAACGTTGTTGTGTAAACAGTAGACGGCAATGCCTGAAATTGTGCACGTGTGAAATTACATCTGAGAAGTTAGGAAACACACTCTGATTACAAAACTGGTCTGACTCCAAACCATTGTACTACTATTGGTTTCGAGCTTTTCACGAGTTCAGTGCTCAAACTTCCTCAGCATTTGGACTGCACAGGCAAGTCCTCTTTACATATGCCGCTCAGCCAAACAGCTGTTATTAGGTGGATGTTGATAGCAGCTTTTATTTGATTTTCATTTAAATGCTCAGTAGGGAGGAATACCATTAAAATGACAGACTTTTTTGATGAACTTCAGCTTTTCTAATGCATTATTCAAACAGCACCATGGCAGAAGATGACAGTTCTCTAAAGCTGGCTACCAAAGTACTTAATTATTAACTACTGTTTTTTGATGTGTTTAAGGAAGGGCGGCATTCTTTTTACAATTGTTTTGGAAAGCACCGATGACACAGGTGGCGTAACGGTTATTAATGAGTGTGTTTACATTGACTGTACATTCAGTAGTCTAAAGCAGAGATGCTTTCCTAACCTCTTTGGAAACAGGATACACAGCCACACAAACACAAACCAGTCACTTTACACCGTAGTCGTGTCTCACCTGTCACTCACCCCAACTTTGACACAAGCATATTGTGATGGGTGACAAACCGAGGGTGCTTACTAGCCCCACTGGCTACTCAAAAGTAAGCATCATATAGGAACGTGCACTTTCCCATTTCAAAATCTCACCTTTTTGTTAGCCCAGTTTAGAGAAGCAAGAAGCAAGTCCATTCTGGCTTATGTTAGTCAGTGTGCCTCTCGCAGGTTGAGAAGCCTGGCTATGCTATTATCCCAGCATAATTAAAAGCCCCAAGTCATCTCACGTTCTTAACATTCTTCTCAACCTTTCTTCACCTATGCCACACGGTCACCTTTGCAGTTTGCCAAATTCCCAAGCCATGACATTTTGTAGCTATTCTTGGGTTTCCCATGACAAAGAGTGACAACAAACCATGGCAGCTTGGCTTAATAATCAAATAAAGCTACAATTCAAATATTTGCCCTGGTCTCATCATCAGTTTGTCGTTTGCCTCCTCTATCTGTATTTTGAGCTGTTTCTGTGACTGCTGCCCTGTGGTTCAGAGACTGACAGGAGGTTTCAGGAGAGGGAAAGGGGAGTGAGGAGTGTTACCAGACTTACCCAACCAGCTCCTGTTCAGATAAACTGACACAAACACGGGCGGTACGGTGAAGAAGTCCACCACTGAGTTCACCTCCAACCAGAACCACAGCTTATCATTGGCTGCTATGAACTGGATGAAGATGAAATGGGTCAATATTACATAGTTTTAAAGGGGATAATATTTTAGAATGACAAAAGGTCTAGTCAAACATTAAAAGCTACTGGTGACTGGTGGGTGTGCAGAATGTGACAGAAATATGTAGAGAATGAAATATGTACTTACACGCAGGCCAAAGTAGAGTAAGAAGAACACATTGAATGCCATGTCAATTTGTAATGTGAAGTCTTTGTAGAAATTCTGACAGGATTCTATAGGACTATGGAGAAAGAAAAACAAGTAAATGTTAATTCAATTTCAAACAAATATTTGATTTAATTGGCATGGAAATAATGTCAAAATGCAAACTTAATCTGGTCCTAAAAATAGTTTTGTTTTGTAGGCTTTTCTTTCTGATTATAAATATGATCTAAATATAAAAATGCACACATAATGTAAAACACACATTGTAACATTATCAAACTTGCTTTTTTTGTCATACTTTTCCAGACTATATATTGTACTACTCTTCTATAACCTACATAAAAGTTTGCATAAATAATCCAATATTCACTTGCACGATAATAATGTTTATACCATAAATCCAATAATTTATTTGCATACTTTATTTGTTATTTTCATACTTCTGGTTATATCTTTATACATTTGTTCTGTACTTAGTACAATGACAATAAAATGTAAACAAATTGTTGGAGTTAAACATGTTTTAAAACACATGTTGTTTGTTTAAAACAAACATAAATAGTTTATGACTAATACAATTATTCAGAGGAAAATACAACTTATTGTGATATAATGTACCATGAATGCATTGCATTATATTACCTTTTTAATACATTATATGTCAATACATCTCTAAGATTTTGACACACAAACATCAGGATCGTTGAAAGACATTGATATGATTCAGGACTGTCTTAAAACACCAGTTGCCTTTATCTGTTAGAATAAATTTTGAAATATATAACAGCATTTCTGATTTATTCAGTACAACTGGGATGGTTAACTCCAGCCGTTGAATGGTTCAAATAATTAAAAGGCTTCATTTCATAAGCCAAAAGCCTTTGAGCTAAGGTTAATGAGGTGCTTGCCTTTCACTGGCATTATCTCATAGGATGTAATTTAGAGACCAGCCTTGAAATTCACTAGACATAAATAATGCCAAACTAAAGAAAAGACAGCCAAATTAAGGAAAAAAGGGGCCCATAATGCAAGTTTAATTAGCTACTTTTGGCCTTAAAGTGATAGTTCACCCAAAAAATTGAATTTGCTGTTCATTTACTCACCCTTAGGCCATCCAAAATGAAAGTGGTTTTTATTCATATAATACAATATTAGTCAATGGCTACTGTGACTTGGAAAAATATGTGATTAATTAGTTGAGGAGCAACAGTCTTTCTGTCACATTATGGCGTATGCGCAGGAGAAAACTCATGTGCGAGTTGACGCTGTGTCTGATTACAACAGAGAGGGAGGACAGGACACATCTGTTGTATTGTCAGTCAAAAAGGTAATTGTGCTTATCCTGGATGCAGTAAACCTATAAAAAAAAATAAGATTGACTTTTTACAGATTGCCAACCTTTGAGCTCCCGTGCATGTCATTATGTGACAGGAAGCTCGGTGCCAGACTGTCGTGAACACGCTCAGGACCATTTGCCGAGGCAGTGGATTACAGGTAATAATTTTATAAATAATGTTCAGTTTCTTGCACAAACTGATCATTTCACTTCACAAGACCTCAATGTATTGTTAATTGTTTTGCCTGTACATGTTTTTTTTTACTCTCGAAGTGACAGTAGCCATTTACATTATATGAATCATCAAGGACCAAGGTTTCAAAATTTTTTTACTGTTCTGGAGAAAACAAGACTCCTAAATCTTGGATGACCTGAAAGTAAATTTACAGCAAATTTTCATTATTTTGGTGAACTATCCCTTTAATGGTCAGGAAGAGCTTTCTATCAAGTTACAATTAGCAGTGTCTCAAAATGCACAACCGTCAACACATGTACGCAGTGAAACACAAAGCGCCTGATCCTTGAGCTCACTGTCACTTCACACTCTGCAATTACAAGAGATCTCCTGCCATGTGGCATCCATGCAGAAAGTATCCCAGCTCAGAAGTCTTAAGACCTAAATGTCATTCTTGACTGCCTGGGCCATAAGATGACACTTTTTCAGGACCTTATAGAGATGTGTGATGCTCTGAGGTCAGCTGAAAGCATGCTATGCCAACTAATAATGTGGTAAACAGTGCTCAGGCGCTCCTGAGCTTCCATCTAACACTAGGTGGCCCCAGTTTCTAATCGAGTGCTTGCGGAGGACATACAGCAATGTCAATGTGCACAGAACTATGCCTCCCTGAGGGACGAATGCAGTGGGCTATTTCAGACTAGCCACAGTATGTGTCTTCATCATCTTCTTTTACAAAGATGCTGCACTTTGGCACTCATTCAGAAAGGGCACAGAGTGAATATGAATCCTGAAAAACACCCTGTGTGCCCAAACATCCCATTATGTCAAAAACAATCTGCACCATTAATCACTATCAGTGCACACTAGAGATCTGCTTAAACAGTACAAAAATTAAAGTTGATGGCAAAAGAAATAAAGGCGACAGACTGAATGCTTGAGCCGTAGCAGGTCTAGGTTAATACAACACTAACTGAATTAGGCCAAGGCATCGTTTCTAAAATAAGAATAATTTAGCACCTGCAATGGCACCGGACAGCCAAAACCTCAGCCGGGGGTCTAAAAATAGCCTTTCTGTTTTAATTCCTCCCTGAGGAGCTCTCTGCATGTGCTTCTAAAATAGGAAAACACACAAAGCCCTAACCTGTTAATGAAAACAGGAGGAAGTGAAAGCTCTAAGCAAGGAAGATGAGAGACTAAAAATTTGTTTAGGAGCTGCAGTTGATATTCGCAGCGATAGTCATGGCAGCGTGTTCAAACAATTCTCTGTTCAAGCAGGAGAAATGCTCAGAGGACTAGCTAATCTTCAAAGAATCACATTGAATATTTTTGAGAATTTCCATCCGGTTCCACCAAATACAAACACACGCATGGAGCAAACGGCACTGCAGAGCCTGCCTCCCACATTCATAACTCAATTCTCACAAAAAAACGAATGGCAAGATAAAGAGAGGCATGCGAATTGAAACGACATCTCTTATCTTCTTATTGATTAACCCTCCTCAAAAAGAGGTCACACTGGCCTCTGCGTTTTTAAACTTCTTTCCTGCCCTCTATGAGTGCTCGCCTCTGGAAAACACAGACCACATCAAGGCTTTCCTTTCAGTGATAAGACCTTATTACTGCAAAAATCTGCAGAGTCATAACTGGGCAGAGCAAAAGCCTCCATCCCTGGAAAGGAATGGCACTGACAATGCGGCCATCTTAGAAGTGAAAAAAAGCTTGAAGAATCCGTTCTACTTCAGGACAGAGATACAGAACTAATAAAAGGCTAAATTAAATCTGCTCGTCATATAAATCGACCGAGTCTCCTCAGAAAATTAGGATTAAACCAATCAATTCACATGGATTAGTTTTACGATCTCTTTCTTTGAGCTGTCAACAGGGGGACAGAAAGCTCTCAGATTTCATCAAAAAGATCTTGTGTTGCGAAGATGGGTTTTGAAAGACATCAATCAGCTGCTGTAATGCATTATGAGAGGTCTATATGATTTTGAAACCTGGTACTGATTTTCAAGCACAGGCATGCATCACAATCTTGGAGAACATGACCTGCCAATGTCTCTCTTTCTCCTCCTCTCTTTCTATAAAGAACAAGCTGCTGGTGTGTGGGAGATTTTCAAAGCGTAGGGACGCTGCACTAGAATTAAACTGGGTGGATTATTCATCCCTGCAATGCAGTGCCAGGATATTTATTTCTGTGGCTTCTCAGTGAACAGGCCATGTAGTTCCCTGCCCTTTCGCAGCATGGTGTCCAAAAGCTTTTCCAGGTTAATACAGCTCAGCCTTGGAGTTGTATACATAAGCATCCATTCATATAACCAAGCAAGTAATTTATTCTGGCCTTAACCGCATAAATAAATTCATTAAGCCATATCTCTGTGTTGTTTTATCAGTGCTGAGGATTCACTTGGCTTCGGCACTGCAATATGCAACTGCGCTAGAGCGCTGATCACCTAAATTGTCATAAGTGGGACAAAATAAAAGGCATCCCTTGAAGGAGAGCTTCCCCTGTTGTTGCCCTACATATTTCTTGCTTCATTGTTCAGTCCCTAAAAAAAGTCACTGTAGTCTAGGAGGGAAAGTACAGACTGTCCCCATTAAAAATATATGACAATGAAACTACAATGTTAAGAAGTGGTGTAACAAACCTACAACACAGCATTATTATATTATGCATTTGTACTTGATCTTCATGTAAATGTACTATAGTATTTGGTTCCTGAGGTCTTCTGAGTAGTTGATAGGCATGTTTAGGTGGTCGCTATGCTATTTTGGGTGAATTATATGCTGTTGCTATGGTGTTCTGTGTGGCTAGTACTGATTGTAGAACACCAAGGAAGATATTTGGAAGAATGTTTTAATCAAACAGATCTCATTTCCCATTGACTACCATAGTAGGAAAAAATACATATATGGTAGTCAATGGGGAATGAGATCTGTTTGATTAAAACATACTTCCAAATATCTCACACCTTAACCTACCCTTAAACCGACCCATACCACCACACCTGTCCCTAACCTTACCCGTATCACACCTCAATAGCAGCAAAAGTGTTTTATAATACAACAGGAACACAATAATACCATGTACTTATTGTTCAATGTAAGTACATAGTACTTAAAGCCACTTAATATAAAGTGGGACCAAATATCTTCCTTTGTGTTCAGCAGAACAAATAAACACATAGAGGTTTGGAACAACATGAGGGTGAGTAAATACTCACAGAATTTTCATTTTTGGGTGAACTAACCCTTTAAGGGTGGTTGATAGGTTGCTACTAGATGTTTATAGGCCATTGTTATGTGGTTCCTAGAATGTTTTGGGTGGTTGATACAGTTTTTAATAGTTGGTACAGCCAACTCCACTAATAATACCAAGGCAACAGGCACAGGGCTTGTGCTATACAGTAGATTTATTACAACTGACTTCTTTCAACACAGTTATGCAACAAAACACTCTCTCTCAACTAAAGAGTCTTTTCACTCTGCTCCAGAACAGCGGATCAGTCCGACCAAAAGAAATAGCGTCCTGAAAAGTGACTCCTCACACAAAAGAGGGATTATAAACTCAGGGGAGGGTAGTAGTTGGCCACTAGAGAGAGCTGTGCATCTACAGCGTTGAGTGAAATGCCTCCCTGAAAGCTTGACGTGTGCACTAAGGCGATGAAACAACAACCCCTCCCCCTCTACTCCTGTCTGCAATTGCTGCTTTCACCCTTCATCAAATTTTTGAGTTACCTTAGGGAGTAACCATCAGCTCAAAATCACTCAAAATGTCCCACTTTAGATGTCTACTGATGGCTTTTTTTACAGACGATTACGTTGTCTATTTGTGCGAGCATTTGAGAGATGCGTTGGACGTGGCGTTGTTCCCTGTTTACATGTGCAAGAGGCCAGATCAAGAGGAAGACGTGTGGTTTCTTCCAGACATTTTTTGAACAGTTGTGATAATTAGCAGCGTAAATGAGTCGTAATGATCCATTATCAAGGCCATTAACGCTTAAGTCACGCGGTACGGCAGGTCAAACGAGAAGCTCAGAGGGCGAGAACCCGGCATGTCGGTTGCACACATCTCTCTCTGGTGAGGACAGCAGCAGTGGAGGTTTCAGCTGCCAGGACTTCAGGCGGTAACTCTAGAGCCAAACGTGATGTAGATCATTAAGAGCACATCACAGCACACACCCCTGCTGCCACAACCTGATCTGGAACTGAACCTGAACTGAACTGAAATAAGCTACATATAATAAAAACTTGAAACATTAGCAGAAGCACTTATAATCTTCCTTGGTCTGAGAAAGGTAAAAGTAAAATTACTAGACCTTGAAACTTCAAATATAGAACTGAAAACAACTTGAATCATCCCTGAGGAAGGTGACCGTAAAATTAGAGGGCAGAGTTTCTCATACATTAATTTATTTGTGGCGGCCCGCCACAATATCAACAGTGTTTATACAGTGTGTATTAAACAGTGTATAATAATATATAAATTAATGTTGTCAGAGATAAATTCACTGTCAAAATTAAGAGAAAAAACAGAAACAAGGTCAATCTGCCTTGGTTCAGTGAATATTTATGGAAACTGATGAAGAGCAGAGATGCTGCTTTAAAAAAGTCTATCAACACTAAAAGAGATGCAGACATTTTGGTATACAAGGGCTTGAGAAACAAAGTGGTTAACGAATTGAGATTGGCCAAGTCACAATTTTTTCTCAAACTTTTGAAAGATGCTAATGGGAACAGTAGCCAAATATGGAAAAGTATTAACAATTTAATAGGGAGAGCTCAGCATGCAAGGAGCCTAGCTAATAAGGAGAGCTAAGTTATTGTTAGATTACAGCTGGATTTTTGAGGTTAGCACACTGTATTTAGCTGGTAGTCCACTCTGTTTTGATCGCCTCATGTTTGGTTTCTTTTTTGCCGCCTCAAGTTTGTGTCGGGTCTCTCGCGTGAGAATCTCGTGTCACGTTTGCAATGTTCAATTAACTGACAATTAATTTAATCAAGTAAATTGTAGTCGTCAATTAATCGATAATCGATTAACCGTTTACATCCCTATTATATAACCTTTAAATCCAACAATCTTCCATCTTCAGTCTCTACCAGGAGGTTCTGAAAAAGCCAGATACAGGTTGAAGATCAAAAAACATCCTTTCCAGGTAAGCACTTCAATCACTCAACTGCTCAGTCGTGGGTAAACCGTCACACTGTTTGAGGTGTCACAGCACTGTCTGTCGCAATTTTAACAGAGCCTAAAGTGTCTATATGACTGCACTATTCAGCCTCCCTACAGAAATGATTAGAGAGATGTCCAATCTGACAACAACTGCAGTCCAATAACAGATCTAGATCACTCGGTTTGGCTCTTTGATCTGGAATCCACCCACACTGCAATGCTAGTGAATTCAGGACATTGTGTGTCTGGAAAAAATCCCCTGACTGAGACCACGGACAATAGATGTGACAGGACAGCTTAGACTGGGCTGTCAGTCAGTTTGCCAAACTGAAGAAACACCAATTCACAAAACAGTATAGAGCAGTAGTCCTCAACCAGATAGTCCTAAATCTCGTTCGCCTTAAGCATGGTTCTCAACTTCTTCTCCAGGGACCCCTTGACAGGCCATAGTTTTCTTTTAATCCTCAAATAGCACACCTGATTCAATTAATTAAAGGGTCAAAGGCTTAATGTGTAGCTGACTAATTGAATCAAGTGTGCCATTTCAGGGAGAAAACAAAAACATGTCCTGTTGGGGGTCTCTGCAGGAGAAGGTTGAGAACTCCTGGCCTAAAGGCACGTGCCGGCTACATACACAGACTAAATTATTGGGCAGTCATGTCCAACCTTTTAAAAAAAAAAGGGCTTTGCAAGTATTGTAAAACTATCTATTTATATTAAAAAGTGCTGTTAAAACAATATATTTGACAACAGTAATTTTTTTTTTTTTTTGCATTATAGAGGCCCAACAAAACTGAGGGTTTGCAAAAATGTAAAAACAGAATCCTGAATTCACCTCATCTAAATCTGTTCATCATCTGTCACACATATGCACTCAAATGAGGAAGCTGATGACTCTAAGCTGTAATATGAAAACATGCATTGTAAAAGACGAGCCAGATCAAGGTTTTTCTGAATGATGCATAAACTCAGTGGCTTGCCCATCCTTCCACGTCCTTTACCACTCTGATCCGTGCATTATAGGGATTAAAAACTCCCATCATGCCTCAGCACGCTGTGACAGTAAGTCTAGGCACACACAGGCTGTATACAAGACTTTATATGAAAGACTGTACACATTTACATTTATTCATTTAGCAGGCGCTTTTATCCAAAGCGACTAACAAATGAGACGTACACATGCTCATTTGAGTGCCTAGATTTAAACGGCACGTGTTGCCGCATCATGTCAATACAGCAGTCTGCATCTCTGACATCACATTCACTGATATATTTATATCGATTCTATTTAATTTATTATACAACTACTGATGTAAATGTATGCATACTGGTCGGTACATTTGTAATTACTTTGAGCAAAGATGAAAATGAAAACTATGATACCTGGTTGCCTGGGCAACAGCTAACAGCACACCTTTCTCTAGTGGAGAAGGGTGGATGGCAGAGATGCTCTGCTAATGTAACCATGGAAACTGGCCTGCTTAGCTTTCATTGACAAAATAATCCCACCACACTGAGTCTTTAAACTCCAACATTACAGAGGAAAGAAAACAAAACCCTGAATTATATAATGGTACCCTTAACAGTACCAATGAATGAAGAGTTCATTAAAATCGTATAATTATCTATATGGGAAAATAGTACCTTAACACTATAGTGTGCCCTGCTACCAGAGCCGATCAGCCCTATATGCACACTACGCAAGTTGCGTATGGCCCCGCAAATTACTCAAGGCCCCCCCCTCCCCCTTGTGTCAAAGCAAAGTTTACAACATCGATGGGAAAATTAGGCGGAATTATCCTTCTGGTCACGAAAAAGAGAGAAAAAAACACCGTGAGAGTGAATTGTGGGAACAGCAATCAGGTAGACTTGTGTTCTCTCTACACCAAGTTTGATGTCAGCAAAGAACAGTGAAGTTAAATTGATGTACATTTCTCTCTAGACTGCCTGTCTGTATTTCTAACCTAGCAGCAGGGCATGCTAATGCCGGTCAACTCCAGGGCTGTGTTCTGTGACATTGTGCCTGACAAAAATTGAGAATGAAATACAACTATTTATTATGTTCGATAAACGACAAAGGCCAACGTTGTTTGTATATAAACTATAGAAAGATAACTGCGTTGCACGTTAAAATGCGTTCATATGCGCATGCACGAAATGAAACGCACACTTTCCAGCAAAACATCTGTGAGGACCAGAAGAATATGGGCGTGATGGCACTCCTCATTATAGGCGCACATACTTTTAAAACCAGGCAATGATTATCTAGTCTCATCTTTGCCAATGGCAAGCGGTTTACATGGCTCATGGGTCAGGTATGGGCCCCTTAACTTAATTTTGCTTTGGGCCCCAGGGAGGTCAGGATCAGCCCTGCCTGCTACCATCTGTGAATCAGAAATCCCTACAGGTGTATCAATTTGAAAACAAATTGTAGTATTTACTGCATTCTTCAAGCTCAACAGTTCGACCTGCTTATCAACATTTTTGTAAGAAACTAAATTAAAACAACTAATTTAATGTTTGGGAAATTTTTGTTTACAAATCAACATTTGTTCCCTTCTACTGATATCTTGATTTATTAAAGCCAACGCTAAATCTGCAAGAGTTACCGATTGTAACATTGTTTTACTTTGTTTGATTAACTTTACATGTATTATTTTACATTTTTAAGTTTATTGCTAGAAGGTAAAATAATCACAAAAATGATATTTAACTTTCACACTTTCAAAGCATCACATTTTATTAATAAGAATAAATTGCAAACCTTACATATACTAGTATCAACTAAAAGATTTCACATTTAAAATGTATTTGGCCTCTTGAGGTGTACAAAATAATTTTCTGAGGGTTAACCATCCCTTTGTTCAATTTTAACTCCCATTCATGAACAGTTCCTTTAGTGAAATGAGGCAAAGGAAATGACTTCTTTCTAAGAACACATTATTTAATATCTGTGTTTAAGGCTTTTGACTCATAAATAATTCAGGCGAGAGTTGTTAAATCAAAATAGTACTCACTCCGAAGAATCTATGAAGTATATTCCCAGAGCTCCGATGCTGAGTGCAAAGACCAACACCACCTTGAGGGGGAGAGAAAGAAAAGAGAGAAAGGAAAAAGATATCATTAGTGAAGGTCCACTGAGAACAGTACCACTTACAGAGAACAGATTAATCCTGGAGCTGTTCAACAATGAGCACAACTTATTTCTGCCCATATGTGTGTAGACATAATAAACAGAAAATGTCATAAAACTATAAGTGATCTCACCAAATCAGGCTGTCTCTCAAATCTGTGCGTCTTTGTTGAATAAATTAATTTTAAAAAAAAAATTTAAAAAGTCTTACTGACTCCAAACCTTACACCACACAGGCTTTACAAAGGAAAAGTGTGTTTAGGCTTGTGCAAATCACAGGCTTACACTTACTGGATGTACTCATAATGTTGATGCTCTGAAAATAGGGAAGCCCCTGTGCTAGCAGGAGAGGGGTCTGGGGAGCACAAAGCTCCTGAGGTCAAAACACTTGATCTTATCTGGGCACTATCACCATATCGGGTGATATCGAGACAGCTGCTATCAAATGGCTGCTGTGTTATGGTGTGTGGTGGAGTAGTACACATGTATATACACCCAGCAAAAGTGCAAGACAAGTGCGTTTACTCTCAGACTGTGTCAACCACAACCAAGTTGGAAAGAGCAATATAAGATAAATCAAAGAAAAGAGAAAATCTGTTGAGCCCAAACATAAATCAGAAGTCTCTACATCACCACCCTTACAAAATAATGACATGTTTTTCTGAGCACTAACTATAGAGAACTATATTATGCATACAACCATATAATACTGTAGCTGCTCTATAAAAACATTAACATTCACTAGTACCAGGGATAATGTCACTATTTGTAGAACTCATTCGTCTGCTGTAATCTGACTGTGAAAACAGTAGATCTACAGTATGCTAATATATAGAACGTGCTATGTAACAATTACATATCATTTAATGTGACAGCAGTGTATATGACCCCTGCATGTTCAATTGTGGTGCTTATATGAGGAACACAGGTTTGAGTCTTGCATGCAACGTGTCCCAATTCCAGCATCCCCCTCTATTCACAATAATTTCCCCCTGTCAGTCCCACTATAATGGTCTGATAAAAAGCCTTCCAGCTCACTTGAACTTGTAGTGGTATAGCTTATCTGAGCAAAATAATTTGTGATGCTACCAGTTATGACCACTTTGATTTAAAAAAATATTACGCAAAAGCTATCCACAAGTTTCCGAGGGGCGCTCATGTAAAAAATAAAGTGGGTGAAACTTCCGGTGAGGCGGCGGAAGTAGCATTCCAATGGTATTTTGTGTGTTAGTTAGCGAAGAGGCTAGCTGTTTTTCTGAGAATTATTTTACTATTTAAAGACGCCAATCTTTATGAGAGATGTCGTTACGGAGCTCAGGGACAACATGCGCTGTTCGCGGTTGTATGTATAACCGGACTAAACTAATTCAGTGGCTTAAACGTGATTGTTTTGAACATAAGCTGAAAACGAAATCACAGTGATCCTACCAACGACTGAAGTTTCCATCAACCTCCCAAAAGACAACGAATCATCCTGTGTACATTTGTTTAAATTCTTAATATTCTATAAACTCTATCAGCATGTGTTTGGCTGTTCGCTACTGATGTTACAGCTAAACTCAGGATCAAAGCCTGTGTTGACAGAATACCAAATGTGCCAGTTAATGTATTCAAGTAGCACATTCATTTATAATTTTGAATAAACTCCAAAGCACAATGACTAAGTGTGTATTTTTTATTTTAATTGTTTGTCAGCTCGCACAACTGTCTGTCAACATGCCTTGATCAGTATTGATTATTAATAATGTTATTATAATACTCCCAATCAACTACTGTGGAGGGTAAAGGCACTGTTATTTCACCCTTTTTAATTTCGTTGAGGTTGTGTTCCCACATCGTTAGCTAGTTTGGATCGCTATAACTTGAATGACCGTCAACTGTTGAATGAACGAGTGTCAAGCATGTCAAGTAGCGCTTTGTTTACTTCAAACCGGAAGTCGCGCCCACTTTTGACGCAAGGCCTCATGGGGCGTAGGAAACTTGTGGATAGTTTTATTTGAATAACAGACGTATTATTCTTTAGAACATTCTTTTAGAAACTGAACGAAATATGTGGAAAATGGGTATACATCTGTCTGAAATTTAGCATCTGAACTGCAGACCAAAGAAAATGCAGAATTGCGCAACACTTCAATTCAAGAGCAGAGATGTGGAGTACCCAGTAAGTAGATTTTTGGCAGACTACCATATTAGTTTAAAATCCCTGCACAGCAAAGAAAAAAAAAAAGCAATATGATGAGATTTATACTGCTGTTTCTTATTGAGTCTACTAAATGAGGTCGCTTCTGAAGCAACTTCTTGTTTTAGATCTCTAATCCATGCTACAGTTTGCCAGTTTCCATACTGAAAATAATGAACAGTCTATCAGTGTTTACAATAAGCAATTAAAGCATGAACAAAACAAAAATTATAATAATTAAAACAGTCTAAGCTAAAGCTAAAGTGTAGCTAAAATCTGTGCTGGCTTCTGACTCGACAATACAGCATTCCAGCTATGCTGAAATACACAGTTTATGAGAGCCATGACTTTGAAATTTTAGCCCTAACCCTTGCCCCTAAACCTAACCCTACGCATTACTATCTCTAAAATCAGAGGGAAATTATAAGTGAATAACTGATGTAGAATTACTGAACTCTTGTTCAAAGATGTTGATACAGGAGCATGTTGTACTTGGCGAAATCATGTTCACCCACTGGACCACACTTACAATAACACTGTGTCAGTTTACATATTTGGCACCTCATGAAATTGCCGTAATAAATCATATTTTAATAAATAATGTGTTTTTTACACAGTATCTGTTTTCAAAAACCAGGCATCTTAGGCTAGGCTAACAATTAAAGCTGTGACTATATTACCAATGGAACACAGCCTCTTGTACCGTACTGATTAAATAAAGCACACAATCAAACTTGTCTTGAAAAGCGTGTCAAAGAACACTCTAGGCACTCTAAAACTGGAAATGGAACAAGTCCTGTCACTGGCCGAGGTTACGTTTCGAGGTGAATGGAAAGTCTCTTTTTTGTGTGGTGTAAGGTGAATGGCCTTTCTTAACCCTTAAGGGCCAAAGGGCTATTGGCCGGAGAGTGGACATCTCAAACATTAAAGACTGGAAACAGCAGCTGCCAGACAGGGTGTTTGTGTATCCAACAGTGGAGAACTATACTGGCTTACTTCAAGAGGTCAGTGACAGGGGTCTATTGGAGAAGTAATTCTACACACGGCCAGGTTCTGCACCAACGATTAGCTCTTTTTCAGCTATTAAGCACAATGATTCATTGTGTGCTTTTGCACAAAATAACTGGACCAAACATGGATCATGTTACGTGTCATGTTAACATCAGGTTGTTCATTACTGAGGGGTTTTCCATATCAAAATTAAAAAAATATAGTGTTTAACTTTAACCTCTAACAGTGAAATCCGAAACATTAACAAAAAAAAAAAGCCCTAACCCTCCTGTTATTTCTCATTACCATGCAAATTAAGTAAAGTTGCCACAGACACAAACAAAAACCTCAAAGAACTATAAGTATTCCCTGGAAGGACCTAAAAAGCAGTTGGTGAACCATTTTGTCACTGTGGTCACCAAAAATACTCATTCTGCTTTACACAGGCTTTCTTTTCAAGTGCATGAAGCAGTTGGCTTAGCTTAACATTATCCTGTCAAAGCAATAAACAGAAACTCTTGAAGAAGCCGGATCTCTGCATTCATTATTGATGACCAGAGGCTGATTCTTTTCATGCAGCCTGTATTTGGATTGATATCCCGCATTGTCTAGTGAGAAAACACCTAGATGCATTTTTAATTGGACCTCTTTGTCTGGGTGATAGTGAGTTCCAGTGAGCTGTGCAGCTCAAGATAAGCAGAGACACTCCTCTCCCACTGCAAGAGATACTCAAACTCCAACATCATTCAGAAGAGCTGCTTATGATCAAAGTTGCTGGTGGCGCACATTAATGCCGTTTTCAAGGTGAATGTCCTCCATTTGACTTCATAGTTAACTTCTTCCACAAGAGGGCACAGTGTGCTTGTTCTGTGGGTGTGTTCAGACTGGCCGAATCAAGGGCCTGTGCTAAATCCTACAGTAGGTACGACTAAATATCTTGACAATTAAAACAGGAAAAGGCAACAGAATTCAGCTATAGAGTTGAATAAATCCATGAAAGGCAAACACCACCAAACACTGACATCCTTGTAGCTGAATGGGATTTGTCACTGTGGCTGGTTACTGAAAAGCTGAGCATTTGAGCTCTCCTGATGAACTGAGACGATAAGAGACAACGTCTTTAAACTGACCCAGTTATTCATCTGGAAATATCAGTCCCAGCACTGTGCCCATCTCCCACACGAGCTCTCTGCAAACCCATTACAACAATTACAGCACTGCAGGAGCAAAGGATTCGCAAACATATACAAACCCATCAAAAGGGAGAGGGATTCTGGGATAGGGAGGATTTTGCTGACATTCCCAAAACGACAAACAAACATAAATGTGATTCCAAATGAGTGGATGGCACATAATGCTAACTTTTCAACACACGTGCTAAGTTCTTAGAGATGAACGCTTTGTATTAACTTGCTTTCATATGGTTTTTAAAAAGGACCATTTTCAACAAGTTTAAATGAATGACTCTAAAGATGTCATGTGGTGTAACCTTAATTGTTATTTTTTTTAGATGTTCAATATAGTAAATGGTCTTTTTTGCAAATATTATAAATTATAAATCATATTATACAATTTGAACAGATCTTGCTATGTCATGAGGTCAAATGATCAGATATCTGAAAGTTTTCCAAAGATGCTAACAAGCATCAAGAGAAGCAGTGTAATTAAAACTTTTTCTAAAACTATTTAATAAGGTTTCCTTTCCAAGAAACATTTCTTTAAATAAAGAACAATTAATAAATTATTATATCAGGAGAGTTGTACCACCCAAAAAATG